ATATATTTTGCTTGTCTCACATACCGAGTTCCTAGTTCCGGGACCCAACTCCCAAACCCCGAAATTGTGGACTGCCGGGTTTCGGGTTTCGGGGTTCGGGGGTCCCGGAACTCGGAACTCGGAACTTGGGAAATTTGGGGAGATCAATAAAATATAATTTACAATCGAGTTGATTGACGGACACATTGACTTACCCGTGTTTGAAATATATTTTGCTTGTCTCACATACCGAGTTCCTAGTTCCGGGACCCAACTCCCGAACCCCGAAATTGTGGACTGCCGGGTTTCAGGTTTCGGGTTTCGGGGTTCGGGGGTCCCGGAACTCGGAACTCGGTATGTGAGACAAACATATATTTCATACACGGGTAAGTCAATGTGTCCGTCAATCAACTCGATTGTAAAGTATATTTTATTGATCTCCCCAAATTTCCCAAGTTCCGAGTTCCGAGTTCCGGGACCCCTGAACCCCGAAACCCGAAACCCGGCAGTCCACAATTTCGAGGTTCGGGAGTTGGTAAAATTTGTATGGATAGATGAAAGGTTGATTTAAACATTTTTGAAAGATGTCCCATATGAAATGTCAAGTCCCAAGTTTTGATTTCCGGCTTTCTGGAGTCCCGAGTCCCGAAGCCCGAAGTCCCGACACCCGGAGTCCCGAAACCCGGAGTTCAAAATTTGGGACTTAACATTTCATATGGGACATCTTTCAAAAATGTTTAAATCAACCTTTCATCTGTCCATACACATTTTACCAACTCCCGAACCTCGAAATTGTGGACTGCCGGGGTTCGGGGTTCGGGGGTCCCGGAACTCGGAACTCGGAACTTGGGAAATTTGGGGAGATCAATAAAATATACTTTACAATCGAGTTGATTGACGGACACATTGACTTACCCGTGTATGAAATATATTTTTGTCTCACATACCGAGTTCCGAGTTCCGGGACCCCCGAACCCCGAAACCCGACACCCGGCAGTCCACAATTTCGGGTTTCGGGGGTTGGTAAATCTCGGTTTGGGGTTTTGCACTGAAAAGTTGACATTTATACGTATCCAGGCTCACCCATATATGTACCCATCTATGTACAATTCCCCCACGTCAGCCCACCCATCTATGTATTATCCCCCACGTCGGCCCACCCGTCTATGTAATACATCCTATGTTGGCCCACCCGTCTATATAATACATACTACGTCGGCCCACCCGTCTATATAATTATACCCCACCTCGGCCCACCTGTCTATGTAATAAATATTTTATCACACCCTCGGCCCACCCGTCTATGTAATACATCCTATGTTGGCCCACCCGTCTATATAATACATACTACGTCGGCCCACCCGTCTATATAATACATACTACGTCGGCCCACCCGTCTATATAATTATACCCCACCTCGGCCCACCTGTCTATGTAATAAATATTTTATCACACCCTCGGCCCACCCGTCTATGTAATACATCCTATGTTGGCCCACCCGTCTATATAATACATACTACGTCGGCCCACCCGTCTATATAATACATACTACGTCGGCCCACCCGTCTATATAATTATACCCCACCTCGGCCCACCTGTCTATGTAATAAATATTTTATCACACCCTCGGCCCACCCGTCTATTTGATATCCCTTTCGTCGGCCCACCCGTATATGTAATACTTTTTATGTCGGCCCACCTGTATATGTAATACACCCCGCGTCAGCCCACCCATCTATGTAATATTCCCCTACCTCGGCCCACCCATATATGTAATACACCCCCGTCGGCCCACCCGTCTATATAACAATATTTGCCTTACATCTCTCTTCAGCCCAGCTGTCTATAATATCCTACTCTACATATTACCCTGATGGGCCCACCCATCTCCATGAATGATCATATTCCCCCGGCCCATCCGTCAACATCAAGGATATATATATCATTGGCATACATGGGCCCACCCGTCTCCATCGGAAATAATATGTGTCCCGGCCCATCCGTCATCATCGAGAATATACACAACATGGGCCCATAATCCGCTGGCCCGTCTCATACGGGATATTATGTAGGTCGGGTGGCCCGTATAATACGGAATTTGTCACTGAAGGGGCTCCGAGAACAGTGTGTATAGTTTATACCACTACATAAGTTCGCCTTGCATTAAAACATTGACGATGGACTCGCAGGATTGAATAACTGTGCATTTCTCGACCGCACAAAGGGACAGATAGCAGAACACTTTGGCATCACTGATCTTGGTCCCATAACGAAGTATCTCAGAATTCAGTTCATCTGCGACCGCAAAATGCGCGAACTTTGGATGCACCAGGAAGACTACATAACGTATCTACTAGCTGAGCACGGCATGTCTAATTGTAACCCAGTGTCTCTTCCTATGGATCCTGGTTTCCCCTTTGGACATCCAACTGATCTTTTTCCCCATATTGACGACTTGCAAACGGAATATTGCAAGTTGGTCGGGGAACTCCTCTACCTGTCCATGTACACCTGGCCTGACATCGTGCTCACGATCATGTGTTTGGCCCAGCATAATGTCTCCGCTGAGCCAAAGCACTATGCAGCAGCCAAACACGTCCTCCGCTACCTTGCAGGCACATCGACTCTCTGTGTTCATTATGGGGGTGCAGGGATTAACCCCTCCCTGCACGGCTTCTCAGATTCTGATTGGGCGTCTTGCCCTGAGGATCGCATATCGATCTCCGGGTACGTTTGGTTTTACAACGGAGGCCCCGTGTCACACTCTGCGAAGAAACAAACAATGCAAGCGCTGTCCTCCACCGAAGCCGAGTACATGGCACTCACCATTACCATCCAGGACGGTCTGTGGCTCCAGTCGTTCTTTGGATGCCTTAGCATCCCTCTGCCATTGCCGCTACAGCGTTGTACTTGACACGCTCTTAGGTTGATGAGACAAACCCTCTTGGTTGCACTGTCGTTCATCTTGAACACTACCCTACTGGGTACCATAAGATTACTGATGACAACCTGATTGCATTCTCAGATATCTTTACTGCATCGGGCCAGGGGATGTCAATATACGCGCAGTCTCAGATCTGCTCCGAGTCCGCAAATGACATTGCAGCAGGTCCAAGCAACGCCGTTGAATTCCAACAAAATGCAACCACACCCACCGAACCTCAAGCAGCCAGTGCTACAGACCGCAGCATCCAGAAGATCATGAAGATGCACGACCACTGGCGACATCCACTTGCCCATCGTCGAGTCCTGATAAGGATTGTGATCTGCTGCGGGACAACAGAGAATCCCCACTTAATTGTCCAAAAGAATGAACATAATCAGAGAACTGAGGTGATTCACCAACTCTGGCCCCTCTGTCTGATCAGGTCTAATGTCAATCCTTCGACCTTGGAAAAGGGTAGGAGGTCGTTTCCTTAATACCTGCTACACTTATTGATTCATTTCTAGTTATTTCCAAAACTATGAAGAAGCCTATTACTGAAGATGAAATATTGAAACTTGTACGTGTCCTCTTTGTTTCATTTACTTGTCTTATCACATAGCAGGCTTCTCCATGGTTCTCACAATTCAACTACAATGTGAGGCGCAGGCTGAACGACACCCTTGACTCTCACACAGGCTTTGGCCTCGGGGATGGTGCATATGGTGATGTTTTGACGGATAAGATCTGGAGTGCATTCAGATGTTTATCAGACCATTTGCACACGTGCTCCCACTTTCCGTGAGTTCTCCGACTTCCCATTCATTGTCAAACTCTTATTTTCCTTGCAGGACAATGGATTTTACAAATTCTTGATTCACCAGATCACTAAGGAGATCGTTCACCATGTCATCTTCTGTCCTACAGAGACATGCCAAGTTGAATTGACCATTGCCGATCTAGAACCTGAAAAGTTTTGCAATGCTCCACACCTACCGTGGGAGGCAATGGTGTTCTTCGCATCATCTGTATGTGTACTAGTCTTCTGGTTTTTCTTTTGACTTCAATTGCTGCATCAGTGTTATGAGGTCTTACTGAAAAGACTCTCCCATCGCCCGAACTATTGTGTTTTGCTGGCCACACATCTGTCTCCCAGTCAAGTTTTCATGGAATTAAAGGAGACGGGTCCGATGCTCTTGCAACAGCACAACGATCCTGACATCCAGACATTCAGACAAACTCTCAGGAATTTGTGTCTTTTAACGTGAGTTCACTCAGAATGTGCATTATGTCCCGTGACTAAGGTGCAATGTACAGCGAGACTGATGTCTATCATATTTCCTGGCCAAAGGTTTCCCAAACAAAGGTTTCCCGGTCAAAGAAATAGTGTGTGCTCGTTGTGTAACTTAACAGTGGTATCTCCCATGTGTCCAATATTTCATCTGATCACTGCATTGTTAAATGTACATTAGTCTGTTTCTGCAAGCCTTTATGACATCATGACAGTCGCCACAGCAAGAACCAGCAAATCATCATTGCCCACCCAAAGGTTAGAATTACCCTATGCTGGTTGTCATACACTGCTTACAAACGATGGCCGCATAGCAATTTTTTTTAATTTGATCGCCATCGCTGCGACTACTTTATCCTCTTTTTGATTTACAGTTTGATCGCCATCACTCAACTGTATAGATTGTGTAAGTATTCAACCCCCGTGAGAATGTCCCCTTCCTGCTCCCTTCAACTTCAACATGTTAAGTAAGATTTGTCCAGGCATTATTGATATGTGCCCAACAGCTCCAATATTTCACTTTCTCAATATTGAACAGACCGAGGTAGCTCTGCTGGGTTGGCTCCAGACCAAGGGCTGTGATGCTGTCAGTGCCCTCGCATATATATTTTTGAATTTTTTCATAACTTCACGTGTAGCTTCCAGAATCCCTCATGATCACAGCTTCCGTGGTGTTTGGCTTGGTCAATGCACATGATCTTATAACCCTGATTGACACGTGCCTCAAGGAGGTCTCAGTGTGCATGCAGCTCCAGCAAGAAGAGGGGAGTTGCATGGTATTCCTTTCATGAGAAGGACGGTGTCTGATGCAAGATCGAATGTATCGAGCTCAATTGGAGTGTACTTAAGTCTGATGTCCGTATTCTAGATCTAAAGAAGCAGCATGCACAGGCCGAAGTGGACATGTTTTCCGAAGCCATGGAATGCCTGTCTGAGTTTGAGGGCACGTCAGATGGTCGGCATGTAAATTGTTCTAATTCATTCCTACTAATTTTGCCGTAGGTATATGCTCTGAGCCTATAATGTTTGACTCACGTCTACCTGACAACTATCTCAATGATTGGTTTTTGGAGTCATCATAATCCTTCTCTTCCGATACTTCCATGCTCTTGTGATCTCAGTGTGCTACCGGTTTGTAACAATCCCCTCCCTTCGCCGTCCACTTTCTCACCAATGTTCTGGTATTTGTCATATCCCGCATTCCAGACCCGGACTTATCACACACCTCATTTCCGGATGTCCGGATCCGGCCGACATCTATCTATGTCCGGATCCGACCCGCGTCTAAACTTCCGCGCCTTATCCCTTTGTATGTTCCTACTCCAGTTAGACTATATCATTTTCTGTACCTCATTTCATTTCCGCCTTTATTTTCCTCTGTTCTAATCTCCGGGTTCATTTACTATTTTCCGATAGACTAGCGTTTGACTTTTCTATACCCTCCGTCCACAGCCTCACATAGCTTCGGACTGCGCTGGCTTACTCTCTGTTACAACACGTTACATGAGTCCCCTCTGCCACCCCTACCCTCTGCCACCTTGCACAGCAACGACACGATACCCGGGCCTTAGGCGCCCTAACAACAGAACACAGAAGAGAAGCCCGGAAGATGCCGGCTTAGTAAGCGGTCTGGACCGCATATGACGATACATGACGACATAGGTCTAGAAGACCTATTTATGTATCAAGATAGAAGGCAAGCCTCGTGTTGCCTCGTGTACTAATAGAAGGACACCTCGTGGTCCTATCTTAGATAGAAGCCTGCCTCATGCATGGTATCTCTGACTCAATAGATAAGCAGATTAGAACCCAGCTTCAAGCTGAGCTTAGATATGATAGAGTAGCCTTATATAAGGACGAAGATTAAAGTAGATGCTCCTTACTTTAATCTTACTTGGTTTTCCCTTGAACTCACTGTCCTGCTAAAGCTACCTGCTTGACATAGTCCCCGCTATCATTGCTACGTAACCCCTTGCTCATTGACGAGCCTTATACACTCGTCAACCGGCAAGCTACGCCAGCGTATGCAACCTTTGGTCTTCTCCAGAGGCCGACGATCCTCAGCACTTGGTACCACTGTCATGGTTGTCACTGTTAGAATCATCCAAGTTGCACACGACTGCTTTGTCGTAACACTCTCCATTAAATCCTCAGTAGTATATAAACCCTGTAGAATCTATGTACATCCTCAGTTCGAATATCATCTTAGACTCTGCTCATTCCCTCCTCCGTCTGACTTGAGTTTCTCTCTCATCTTAGGATTGATTCCTATAGACTTGTCACCTCCGCCTCTACCTCTGGTAGTCCTCTGCTGTTTCCTTTCTAGTTCGGACTTCATCCGGATTAGTCTTATCTCTTGTTCCCAAATGTCCGCCGGAATTCCCGTGCATCGGACATCGGACTCCAGACATTGCCCGACGCCCTCCGGACATCGTCCGGTAACCTTCAGACATCGTTCGACAGCCTTCAGAAGTTAGGGGCACGTACTTGGGTAAGGGGCGCAGCGCACAAGCTGAAGCCAAGCCCTTCGGATTCGACCCTTGAGCACGTTCTTAACAGTATTCCGCACATTACATGTTGGCTGTACATCAGTTTTGGTTTATTTTATTTTTGCTACTATCACTGTCTTTGATTACCATCTGCTTATATTATGCACTCTTGACTCTTGACAATGTGCTGAGATCTTCGACCTTAAGCACCTCTGACATCATTCAGTGTGATCTCCCTTTCCGAAATTTGGTGTTTCCTTCCGCCTCCTTCACTGTGTGTAGCTGCCACTTGGATGAAACTTATCATAGATTCCCTTGACGCCATGTTTCAAACTCGTATTTTATGTTGTCCGAGAATTATCATGGTATATGAAAATAATATTCTTGCTCAGGTTGGTGTGTGACGTCATATTATAATATCAATTGTAGTTTTGCAGGTATTAGTGCTGCCACAGTCCGGTTCTGAACTTCGGTTTGAACCCGAACCTTTCCGAACCGGACTCAAGGTCCGGTCACAGGTCTGGCATGACCCCTGGACCAAACCTTGAGTCCGGTTTGAGGTTCGGAGCTACCCAGAACTGGTTCAGACATGTTTGAACCCCACCATGATCAGCGCCCTACACTACCTCGATTTCGCTGCTTTTAGGTACGTCGTGCATGTAGACTCGACTCTGGATGGGGGACTCACATATTGAGTCTAACCTCTCACTATCCTGGCACGCCAATGCAGTCTCCCACTGCTCACTTCGTTTCCCACACCTTATCATTCTCTGCACTTCACGCGGCCGCCCGTGACATCTTGTTCTTTCCCTGGTTGACATCACAGTAGACACAGTCCATATGCAACATTTAATCATATATTGGCACTGATACTAACACTGACAACAACTATACAGATATATCGACATAGAGTCAGAAGATGAAGATGATGAGGAGGCAGTGGGCTCTACGTGCCAGATGACTTCCTGTCAGGATCCTCTCGAAAGAAGAAACAACTCACAGAGTGAGCTTGCACTTCGATGCGAAGGTTCGTCAGTTATGTTTACACTCATTCATCCATCTGACATCTCAGTGACAGGATTGGATCAAGTCCCAGAGCACCATCCTGACACTGCCATGATCCCAATGCCCACTCACCCTTCATGAGATCTCATCTTCTTCCAGGTTCACTCCTCCTACTCTCGTCTGTCATCCGCGTTCATCTGAGCCATGTCAGCAGTTGCTGACGTACACTGGGCATTTGTGCATGGCATTCGTGGTGTTGGGAATGGCATGGTGGAGCTCTGGCCCATCGCTTGGTCAAACCTGGTTCGAACGTGAACCGGACCTCCTGAACGTGTTCGGTGACGTTCGGTCCAGGGTTCGACCAAACAGCCAAACCAAACCTATGGTTCGGTTTGGCGTTCAGAAAATGTGGCCCAAGAACCGGACTGAACCAGACTTCGGCAGCACTAGCAGGTATGGCATGCAGCTGCTCAGAAACATAGAACAAGTGTCATGTTATTATCTTTAGCTAGTGTACAGATGGTCACTTGTCATATTGATCTCTACTCGTAACATACATGTCAAGATGGTTTGTCCTCGGCAAACTTTTGTATTCTTTTGTATATGTGACATATGGTTGTCACATGCATATCACGGTGGCATGTCTTTGGCAAACCTTTGTATTCCCTCACATATGTGATGCATGGTTGTGTGGCATGTCTTTGGCACACTCTTGTATTCCTTCGCATATGTGACATATGGTTGTCACATGCATATCATGGTAGCATGTCTTCGGCACACTCTTGTATTCTTTCCCATATCTGATGCATGGTTGTCACATGCATATCTTAGTGGCATGTCTTCGGCACACTCTTGTATTCTTTCCCATATCTGATGCATGGTTGTCACATGCATATCATGGTGGCATGTCCTTGGCACACTGTTGTATTTTTTCACATATGTGATGTGTGGTTGTCATATGCATATCAAGGTGGCATGTTCTTAGCAAACTTTTGTATTATACACAGCAGAGTCATCACCCCCACAAGTCGTCAGGTCACGCTTTTGTCACAGCAGGCCACTGCTGCCGCTTTCAAAATCCGCTCAGCAATGCCTAAGAAATTCAACAGGTCAAAAATGATGATTATGATTGGTTGGTGCGATGTGGAATATAGTATGGGATGTGGTTGTAATTAGGGATCTGCATGGGTACGGGTAACCCGCATGGGTCACGGGTACAGGTACTACTGGGGTACGGGTACGGGTCAGGATTCTAAGACCCGCGCTCTTACCCGTACCCCAGCTATACCCGTGCCTTCCATAAACGGTAATTTTTTTGGCGTGAAGAACATTGACATTCACCAAGTCAGAAGTTCCCATTGACCATCCTTGGGCCGTCTCTTAATCAAAAGGTGCGTTTTTACAATTATATATATCTATGTAGATCACTTACAAAACTAATCACTTCATAGTTGTTCTGTTTCCTTTTCCACGTTCTCAGACACACAGTCTTTCATCTCCCCAGCGCACTCATCACATTTGATCCACAATGTCCTCTCTCCTCTGCTATCACCACTTGCTATCAAATTCCCAACTCGTGATACCGCCAATTCCAACACCTCACTGTGATTAGTGATGGCCAGGTTCGGTTCTGAACCGCGGTTCGAACCTGAACCGTTTCGAACCTGACCGAAGTCCGGTTCAAGGTTCGGGCAATAGGGAGGACCGAACCGTTGGTCCGGTCCGCGGTTCAGGGACTTGCAGAATTGCAGAACCGGTTCTGAACAGGTTCGAACCTGTTTGAACCGATGGCAAGTCAGTATGTAGTTTTATCTTTGCGGTTCTGAGGAGTGGGAACGGCCTTGTGCAGAGGACTGAGAACAAAGAGGTCAAGAAAATGAAATTGAAGTGATAGCGATGACACACGTAAGCTGGTGAGACTCCATTGAAAAAACCATGGGGTACCTGGCGAGCAGGTGGACGTCGTTGGACCGGAGGTCGTGTAGCATTAGCCTAGTGTATGTATGTTGAGCCCAACAAGATCTTTGAATGAAGGTGTTACATACAAGGGCCAAGATCTCGAACAAGTTGTATGTTTTGATGAGTACTATACTATTGCCCCCTGCCGCTAGTGACGCCGAGCAGTATTTGGATTTGTTGATTGCAGCACTCTGTGACAACACAGATGATGAGGATGGTGAACTGGTCTAGTAGCATTTAGTATTACATGATGCATCTGTTGTTGGGCGTGTTTCAATATAATTTTTCTTGACGAAATTTTTATTAGTTTGGATGGTCCGGTTCTCGGTTCGAACCCTCACTGAACCAGAACCGGACCATTTTCGGACCGAACTGATGGTCCGGTCCACGGTTCTGCTTACTAGGAGAACCAAACCGATGGTCCAGTCCACAGTTCTCCTAATTTCCTGGAGAACCGGACCGAACCGGACTTTTCCATCACTAACTGTGATGCCCCTCCATCCTCTTCAACACAACACCTGTCTTCAAGTCCCACAGGCGAAGCGTCTTGTGCTCCGAGCCTGCGCCCAACGTTCGCAGAACGTGAGTGTGCCGATCCTCATTCAAGCAAGAGCCATGCTGATCGAAGTCGTCGCCCAACATTTGCAGTATGTGAGTGTGCCGATCCTCGTTCGAGCAAGAGCCATGCTGATATAAGTCGTTTCCCATTGTTCGCAGGATGTGAGTGTGTTGGTCCCGCGTCGCGCTCAAGCCATGCTGATCAAAGTCGTCGCCCAACGTTTGCAGTATGTGAGTGTGCCGATCCTCGTTCGAGCAAGAGCCATGCTGATACAAGTCGTTTCCCGTCGTTCGCAGGATGTGAGTGTGTCGGTCCCGCGTCGAGCTTGAGCCAAGCTGATCCAAGTCGTTTCCCGCCATTCGCAGCTTGTGAGTGTGTTGGTCCCGCGCCGAGCTCGAGCCATGCTGATCCAAGTCGTTTCCCACCATTTGCAGGTTGTCAGTGTGTCGATCCCGCTTTGAGCTCGAGCCATGCTGATCCAAGTCGTTCCCTGCCGTTCGCAATGTCTCAGTAAGTTCTTTTTTACAATCATTTTTTTTCATAGTTCTAACTTAATATTTATATGTACTACTCGCAGGTAAACCCTGCATGGGTGCGGGTGAGGGTACGAGCTGGCCATACCCCCCAAAAACCCGCACCCTTCGTGCGGGTCTGGGTATACCTCGGGGTGCGGGTGCGGGTCAGGTCCCTGACACCCTGGGGTATACCCGTGTGGATCCCTAGTTGTAATTATAATGGCTGTATGGTGCAGGATATGCTACATGAGAATAGCTTACACTATTAGCCAATGCAGCTTCTTTGATGCTCTTGTAGACCTTGTTTGTGATCCCCTGGATGGCAGTCTGGATCCGCTGCTCATATGTGGGATCACACAACTCTCGTGATTTGCCTTTTGGGCGGCTATTTCGTCGAGCCATGTCCAAATGGTGTCAGCTCACTGACAACTTGTCACAGCCAGTGGTAGTATCTGTTTAGAACTCCGTTATGGCAGCACTCGGCTGGCTGTCACCAGCGTGACTTTGACGGCTTTCAATGAACTTCACCATTTCTTAACAAAATTTGGTCATTCAACCTCACAATAAAAGGTGCATGATAGAAACATTGATTTAAGTTGTGAATTGTGTGTGGAAGTAAGGATTGAGTGAGATATTTAGGTCGTGACGACTTGTGGGGTGACGACTCTGCCGTGAGGTATAGTAATCCTAGATCTAGATATATCATACTGTATAATTTCGACCTTAGGTTCGTGGGAAATTCTGCACTGCATTACCTAATGGTTTTGTGACAGGTTCGTCTCTCGAGGACAGCTGTGACAAACTTACAATAAGTTCACAAGGTTCATATGTAGTAAGATAATATATGTACTTTCTACACAAATATAGTTCAAAAATGACAATGAGGAGGGAAAAAAAGTGGTTAAGTGAATGTTTTCATAAAAAAACATATCTAAAAACAAACATATCATATGCTATGTCACAAAATTAGGTTCGTTGACCAAAAACAGCTGTGACTGTCACAAAAAATAGGTTAGGTTCGTCGGGCTTGCGACGGTGTGACGAACCTAAGGTCGAAATTATACAGTAATGTGCTTGATTTGTCAACACTACCTGGTCATATCAATTCCGGGTTGATTTCCTGATGTACAGGATGTTGTTTAGGATGGCTTACCACGAAGTTATCATGGTGCAACTTGTTTCTCAAATTCACAGCCATGGACCACGGTGATTCCGGCAACGCTGTCGTGCTCAAGTGAGTATCATCATTAGCCTTTGACATGACAGCAAGAACGTACCCGGCACCAACTATGACCACTCGGGGTGTATCACGATTCATGTTTGACAGTTTGTGGTGAGTAGTAGAGAGAAGATTGCGCAGTATGATGGTAACACGCCCATAGGAGTACAGGTCAAAGGCTGTACCTTGTTGCGACCAGCTTCGGACAAAGTTCAATCGTAGGACTCATCTTTATCTGTTGTCCCAAATATTGTAATAGTAACATAACCTTGGATTTCTACAGAGTGAGGTTTCGATAATCCAAAGGATGCTCTTTAGTTTCGCAGGCAACGGGACTGAAAATGAAAAGAAAAACAAGCCTCGACTTGTATCCTCGACACCAGGTAATGACAGACATAAGATATAACCTTATTCCTGCTCATAATGTGTATCTGAAGTCAGGCGCACGGTCTCCCAAGTCCCGCAATTCCTGGTACGAATATTGCACTTTCTCCCCCCGTTCTCTTGCGAGCCGTTCTGCAGCATCGCGTTTGGCGTTGATCCTCTTGTAGATAAACACCACAAGCGGCAAAAAGATGAATCCAATCCCGACGAACATGAGTTCGAATGCATCTGGAAACGAAGAGTTAGCCGACGCGAGCCTTATTTTAACGAATTTGAACTTACACCCAAAGATGAACCGAGGTGCGTCTCGCGACCTATAGACGGTGGCTGCAACCACACCACTGAGATTTCCAACGCTCATTTCGAGGGCCATGCCAACGCCTCTCTTGTACTGGCCGGAAAGATTGTTTCCAAGCCTTGATTATCATATGTTAGCCTTGGTCATGACGCGACTGATAATGATATACCAAGAAATGATACCAGGCAATGATGCATAGCTTCCCATAACAATGACGTAAGTCCCAAAATACTTGACACCATCGGGTGCGGTAGATATGTTTATCGAAAAGCCGATGAGACACATTGTAAGGCCGGCAAGAATGAAGGGTGATCGCATTTTCAACTTGTCCGAGTAGTGTGCAAAAACGAGCAATGTGATAGCTAAATGGAACAGGTTACCGCGTGAGATTGCAGATAGGTAAGAAAAACTGACTTCCAGCAATATATGGTGGTACGGTGAGCAACTGGCTGACTGGCGTGTTATATCCAAAGCTGAATGCAATTGAATAAGTGAATCACAATCAGCTTGTCATGACAGACCTCTTGATGATCGTTCTGGCACAAATAGGTTAAACACCATCTTCAAAGATCTAAAAATCGACTTACGGGAGAAACAGGGTGATGCCATACACTAAGAGTGATCAAATCAGCGTCTGACGTCACTGAGCAGCCAAAGTGTGTCACTTACGAGGCCCAACGATTGACACATAAATGGGGATATGCAACCAGATCTGACGAGTTGGTTGAGGCACGAACATAACAAAGAAACAATTAGCATCTTACCTGCCAGTCTGTGAATGCCGCCCAGACGTGCTTAGCAGCAAACTTCTTTTCCTCGCCGACCGATGAATTGTCATATTCTGAAAGAAATCTGTCGTATCTGCCCTCTCAAAATTTGCTACCCCACTCACTTTTCCTCCAGACAACAAAAGCACGCTCTTCCGGGGTCAAGAACTTAGCTGTTTCCGGAAAGTCGACAAGCACTAAATGATCATATACATATCAGCCTTTTGTGTAATCGAACGCGTGCTGCACTCGCCAAAGAAAGAAATGATGGCTACAACTATCGTTGCAAGGCCTTCAATCAGCTGCATACGAATTTTGAGCATTACTTCTGAAATCGGCCATGAACGAGCTCACGAAGATCCAGGACCATGCTTCGAGTCCTTCCATGCCACCCATGTAACCAATCCCAAATGCTAGTAAGCCAGAGAAAGCACCTGAAATTTGTTTCGCTATTAAAATCCCAATGATGGAGCGAGACAACAAACCTGCAACCGTTGCAGCACCAAAAAACAAGCCAACTACCGGAGCACTTCAACATCCTAAGCGGACAACCAAATACAGGACACTTACTTCGATATTGTAGCATGTGTCTCGGGTACCACAAAGTAAGGCTGCAGATCCATCAGCAATATCCCGCAAAAGTTCTTTATTTATCCTCACTAATAAACCACACCAGGGAACAAACCTGCCTCAGCGATACCAAGACAGATTCGCACTCCAACAAGCTGAGGGTACCTGGAATGTAAGGTCAATATCAAGTCAAAAAAATCGGCAAAAAACTGCTCAATCTCACGTCTTCACGAAAGCATTGAGTGTCCTGGAAATAGGCTTCCTCGTTAACTTTAGAATGTATTGAGAGTGAATGACGCACATAACTACCCCCCATGCAAACTATTGATCGGGATCGTGAGATAAATTCAGCCGCCATCATGCAAAACTTACATTGATCCCTGGAAGCCATCTAAAACACACAGGGTCGGTTAGACAGTACTCAAAGGTTAATACGAACACTTGCCTGGATGGTCTGATCGCTTTAAGAACCAGGCTTGAGGTTGCAGTCAGCGCGCAGATAACCAACAAATTGGGTCCCAAACGAACTTAGAGGGACATTCAAACAGGCAGTATGCCTTTACGGTTTACAAGTTCAAAAAAAAATCCGATGCCTGTCAGAATAACGTTACTTACTATGATAAACATTATCTGTATTCAGCTGTAAGATTGGTGATGTTGTGAACAAACAACCACACATTACGTACCAATACAATGTTAAATTTGTTTCCCGTGAGATCCAGTTGAGTGATAATCCCCTCCAATGCCGCGTTACCTATGTTAGCTGTTGAAGAGTGAGGGAAATATTCGACGTCGACTGTCCTGATAACTACGCACCTCTGTCAAGGAAAGCCAGAAGATACATCAAACTGAGGATAGGCATTATCCGCAGGTCAATCTTCCTCCACAGTTTCTTCTCCTGCTCTGGTGTTAGCACTGGGACATTTTTGAGATCCAAAACCGAGTCCTCCGGCCGCTCCTCGTCACACTGGTTGTGTTCAGAGCTGATAGAATTCATGTGATCCGCAGGAATAGTGTTCACGATGTAAGTTATGGTAAAATAGCGACAATATGAAGGGAAGTTCTTAACCTTTCTTGATAAATGTGTGACTGGGGCTTTAAAACGTTCATGGCGGGTTTGATTTTTTAATCATGAACCTTGATTAGCCGGCATTACGGTACTGATACCTGTTCGACTATATTTATGCCCCCTTGTCTGAATACCATGTCGACAGGGACGGGGGCATGCTATGACACATCGACCGTATTCAGATACACGATGTCTGCTGTCCCTGCGATAGACAGATTAGCTTGTGATGATGCAAGAGTCAGCTCCACGGACGCACTTGAGGATGATTAGTTGTGCCTTTGGGGTACTATCACCACGTCACTATCAATGAAATACACGACACGAGAGGAAGTCAATTGCCTAAACGTATTGAAATTCGGAAACCAGAATTTTACATCCGATCTCACACGGAAGTCCAAATTTTGGGATGTCTCAAGTCTGTCAACAGCGACGTTTCGAAGGTGATCCCGCAGGGTCCCTTGGCTGCCATCGAATCGCATTAATTGATGATCTAACCGTCGCATTTGCTCGGCCCACCTGGGGATCCCTAATGGTCAGTAAATGGGTCAATCATTGAACGTTGCTATACCGACATACGATTCCAGGCTCGGACCCCACTTGTCGATACAGGGAGGGGTAAGACGAATGAGGATCCATTTTCACGGTTCCGGCTGTCCTATCAGTCGGAAAGAATGGTGGACGGTTCAGGAAGGTGTTATCATGATGTACTTAGCTTCACTATGTCAGCCCGCTTCCTGGAATGCGGTACTGATGCTGATACCCGTTACTAGTCCAAGTGGAGCCAGTGTACCATTAACGTTGTGCCACCTGGCCCCTGGGGCTGAGGCATCCTACGACTCGGAGAGATACAGGCAAGGTTCAAGAGAGTACAAAAGTTCCCGTTGGGAGTCGCTGAAAGGTCGCCTCATTAGATTTGGACCTTTTAGTTGCCTTATATGTTTGTAATTTCCCGCGCTTTAATTGCTTCTTGTTCGTAATGGGGCTTTCAAAATTCAACTTTACCTTTCGTTTTGTGACATGACTGCGTCTTGAGCTTCATCATCTGCCCTGCCGCAGTTCTCTGATTGCCTTGGTTTATCTTGTCTCACTTGTTGTAATGCGTCAACAAGTAGTTGATGACGATGTATCTGTTATCTCCGGTCTGCTTCGGTTCAATGACCCGGCGCGCGGTCATTCGCGGTCATTTGCTGTTGGTCGGAGTGCTCGCCGCGATTAAGCGCGTGATTCGTCGCGTGTCCATCTATCTATAGCTGAAGATCTCGGTGATGTGCGTTTCAATTTTAAGCATTTGGTGGCAGAGGTCAGCTATAATGTTGACCGAATTGATGATGATGAAGTTGGCAGCTTGACAAGTTGCATTGAATTTGGGCCTTGGCGACTAGCTACAATCATGCCGAACCCGCTCTATATCTAGAGGCATGCCCGTATGGCTGTAAACGACATTTACTCATCGTGATATTGTCAAGATGAAGTTTCTGTTCGTTGCGAGTAACGATAAGCTTGAGTACTTCACACTTTGCATCGCTTTTAAAACGAACTCAACTATCAACAAGGCGCTTCAAACGACGCAAGTTAGCTAACAGCCATCCTAACATCGACCTAATCAGCATAGCTCCCTTGCCACACATGAATCCCTTACAACATCTATTCAATTTTGACCGGGACGTTCCCTTGTGAACCGGTTCAGCACTCGTAACCGGATCTGCTATTACACACCTCGATTATTTGCGTTCGGTACCACCTGCAGGACAGGGTCGCTAGTAGCTACCTCACAAACAAAGGGATTCACCCATCAATATTCTCGATTCCTATTCAATAACCATGAAAGCCATCACAAAGGCCTTTGTCCATATATATATATGATAGCGGATCATCTGATTTATCGTCGTTACGAGTACTTTCATCTCGATAAGTATTCACCCTCGAACAAAGAAATAACCAACCAGATATATATTCTAGATTCCTGCAGATCACCTCGTTGTCTTCTCAACTCCCACTTCCAAACTTTACTCTCCCAGCGCTGTACCCCCATGTCTATCACAGCTTTTGGCAGTCCATGATGTCGGGCATTAATCGAGATCGCAGCATCATCATTTGATGTAATCCATGCAGTTGGCATTGCTGCCCTTCGAGGTTCACTCTTCAAAACTTCTCTCTGCAGGTTCGCATCCTGCTTTGATTTGATGCTCGTCGTTGATTTCAATGTTCTCCCAGAAACATTGATATTATTTTCCTTCTCAGTACCATCACCTGATGTCATTTTTACTTCGCAAATGACAGGAAAAACAGCAGGTGGTGACGCTACGTTTCGCAGGGTCGTTTTTCAAAACTTCACACTGGGTTGTATCTTTGATTAGTTGGATGCTCGTTGTTAACATTCTCGCAGAAGCATCAGATATTCCTATTCATTTTTCTTCAACAATACCTGAAATCGGAATCGTAACATCACTGCCAGATTTGTACGCCTCTATGTCTTGCGAGGGCTCAATCAGGTGGCGGCGTTGTGTTTCGAACAAGAGCTGATCGCATTCACTAGCACTCTCTAGGATCTAGGTTCGTGCCTTACCTTGGTTAGATAGCAATACACGTAATGACCACGTATCTTTGACAATCCCTTATCTTCTCACCAGCGCCCACCACAGCCAAACAAGCCGCATCATCTGTCCACTTGTAAGTACTCGTCACCGATCCACGCGGTACCCCCAATATTGGTGTCACCAATGACAGCTCATTTCGGCAGCACCTGATATCGGGCGTTGATCGGAGTTGCATTGTCATCACCTGTGAACAGCAGCTGGAAACCGTTCAAGAGATCTTCCTAGGTGGCGACACCGCATTTCGAGTAGATCGTAAGATTTCTCTTCACTAGTTCTCTAGGTTCTCGTCTTCGTTTTACGACACGATATAACACTTAACACGCATTTCACCCCTCCCAGCACAGGAGATTATTTGATTTAAGGTTCCCTGAGGTTGTCAGACCATTTGGAATTCGACTCGTTGCAGGCCCACGAAGTACTCCCGATGTTCAGCCTGTACAAAAAATTGACCTTTGGGCAGACTCAATATCGGTTGTTCATCAGGGCGCAACGTCATCATCTGCGAGGTGCATTCTAGAGATCCTCACAGGTAGCGTCATTCCCTTGCAAACTCACCAAACCTTCACTCTCCCTACGATACCCCGCAATCTGGCCCGAGTCGCAGCGTCATCATCACCTACAGTCTACAGAGGCTTTTTTCAGAATCCAAGAGATCTTCGCAGGTGGTAGCGTTGCAGTTCGAGTATACCGCAAAGTTGATCTTCACTAGCACTCTCTAGGTTCGCATTAACTAGCTTGAATAACACAATATACGTGCTGACCACGTAGTATCCTGAACAGTCCCGCCATCCATTTTACCCCTCTCGGCGCAGGAGAAAGGCAACATTACTGCCATAGCTGGCAAATGTCCATCAGACCGTTACAGATCCACGTGGTACCCTTGCACTTCAAAGCTTCACTCTAGGTTCACACCTTGGTTTTATTAGATGGTCGTTATTAATATTTATCTAGAAACATGATCTTTCCTGCCAGTGTTTGAAATCGGAGTTGCGATCATCGCCTGTGAGAGTCTTTGTGCGAGACACAAACGTTTCAAATAGATCGTAGAGCTCGGTTGGTCTTGAAAGCTTCACCTTCACTCCCTAGGTTCGCACCTTGCCTTGGTTGGATGATCTTCTGACTCTGACGCCCTGGAAAACGACTATGCCCAGGTATATCTAGAATAAATAGTAGATACGGAGGAACCTACACTTGCTGGTGCAAGTGCAAGCGCTGGTCAGAAGAGACTTAATGGTGCATCTGGGTCTATGCTTCACATAGTGATCCTGTCTGCAGTGCTAAATACTCGATCTTTTGTAAAAAGATATATGACACACAATTTACTTGCATTGAGAGCAAACATGACCGAGAGGTTCCACTAACTGCCTCAGATATCGCAACAACACACCCAGCACTTATTGCTCCAATCGAAAGGCCAGCACTCTTCCGGGCATTCCGGAGGTGATCCTGGGATGCAAAATGACGGGCCTGGGCACTCTGCGCTTTCAGAAGCAGGTGCTGCTGTCGTCACCCCAGTGGGACTGGAAGCGGCACTGAAAGCGGCAAGCATGGCGAGGTAAACGATTTGAACGAGCTTCATGATATCTGGTATGACTATGCTTCAGGCTATGACGTGAACGTGTGAGGAAACCACACCAACAAAAGTCTGATTGGGCAAATGTGCGCGAAGTTACGATGAGAAAGTCTTAGACGAGTCACGAGCTGTTGTATGACGCTTCAATGAAATGCGCATAGTGTGGCGTAAGAGGGTTACTTACCGTAACAGTAGACGTTCGTCTCTGAGGCCTTTTTAACTGGACCACGCTGATTTTCCACTTGTTCTCATTAGTAGTGAAACTATACCCGGAGTTTTATACCGAGAAGACATGCAACTCTGTTAATGAGATCTATCTCCTTGGCAATCCGCGTGCAGGCCGCCGCCTGAGGCGTGTCAAGTCAGTGATAGTTAAACCAAGCCAGCGGGTCGTCGTAACCCAGCAGAAAGCGCCAGGAATCCAGCATTTCCCTGTATTTCAGGAGTCAGGAGCTAAGCAGAGACAGAGTCCAGCTTAAAGTTATACACACCTGAGACCGCCCATAATTTCTCAAGGAAGAAAATGGGTACTGCCCCATGGGCCTGCAAAAATCTGGAGTCAGTCGTAGCCTCCATATATTGGACTGGCAACGACACTGACAATTGCAAATATCATGACATGCCACCTCACCCGTTCCTATACTACCATTAATGCTCTGAGTATCATGATGAAAATAAACTCACCCTTGGCACCATTTCCGAGAAGACGTTCCCACGATCTTTCAGACCCGGTTTCCATGTTACTATGGGAAACCAGGCTGAAAGCCCATCATCCCAAGAGGGTCCCCCAGGTGCTACATAGAATAGGCTCCCGCCCTTGAGAGGGTATTTAACTTAAGTTTGCGCAGAGGTTCTCGTAGTAAGTATAGTCTGCCCTTTGCCCTCACTCACTGCCATGTATGGTAAATATAGATCTGCGCCCTCCTTCGTCACATAGCGCTGTCCGCTGCACTGGCACATTCTTCTGGATCCATGGCCTCTGAGCTTTGTGGAAAAGATTTACATTGGTGCCTTCTCAATCTACGTACTCTACGCTTTGGTATTTTTTAGACTGACACATTCTTCTTGATCTACAATGCCAGGTGCTTCACGAACCTCGAGTGCATCTGGCTCAACGACTCGACTTTTCCGTCATTTAATGTTTGTTTTAATTGTTCTTATGCCAGGTACCTCATGCGAGCCTCGAGTGCATCTCGTTCAATGACTCAACTTTTCCATCGTTTCATGTTTGTTCCAAACGTTCGTTGTTCTCATGCCAGGCAGGTAACTCACAAACCTCGAGTGCATCTCGTTCAACGACTTGACTTTTCCGTTATTTGATGTTTGTTCTAAATGTTCCTGCGTCGTGAACCTTGAATGCATCTTGTTCAGCAGGACTTCTCTCACTTCACAAACATCGGAAGCATTTCATTCAACCAGAGACAACTTGTGGCGCTACGTTTCAAATAGATCGTAGAGCTCGGTTGGTCTTGAAAGCGTCACATTCACTCCCTAGGTTCGCACATTCCCTCAGTTCGATGATATTCGTTTTGTTTGTAGTAGCGACACGAGAAAAAACGGAAAGACTCGTGAAGTCAGTAAAAGGAACTATAGTAAGGTATGTCTTACCTCAGTCGCGTACTCGTAGTGTAGCGGACTGAGTGTCAGTAGCTCGAACTTGTCCGTATGTACTCGCTGTATTTAGTAATAACGAACCAAAACCAACACTTCGGACTCCTGGAAAACGACTATGCCCAGGTGTATACCTCGAATAAATAGTAGGTACGGAGGAACCTGCACTTGCCTATGCGAGTGCTTGTGCTGGTCAGAAGAGAGTCAATGGTGCATCTGGGTCTATGCTTCACATAGGGATCTTGTCTGAATGCTAACTCAATCTTTTGTAAAACGATATATGATACACATTTTGCTTGCATTGAGAGCAAAAATGACCGAGAGGTTCAGCTAACTGCTTGAGATGTAGCAACAACACACCCAGCAATCATTGCCCCAATTGTGAAGCCAGCACTCTGACGGGCATCCCGGACGTAATCCAGGGATGCACATGGTTGGGCAGTCTAGGCTTGCAGAAGGAGATACTGCTACCATCACCCTAGTGGGACTAGAAGCGGCACTGAAAGCGGCAAGGATGGCGAGGTAAACGATTTGAACGAGCTTCATTATATCTGGTATGACTATGCTTCAGACTATCATGTAAACGTGTGAGGAAAAGACGCCGACAAAAGTCTGATTGTGCAAATGTGTGCGAAGTTGCGATGAAAAAGTCTTAGACGAGCTGTTGTATGACATTTCAATGAAATGCGCATAGTGTGGCGTAAGAGGGTTACTTACTATAACAGTAGACGTTCATCTCTGAGGCCTTTCTCATTGGTGGTGAAACTATACTTGGAGTTTTATACGGAGAAGACACGCAGCTCTATTAATGAAATCCATCTCCTTGGATATCCGCATGCAGGCCTGAGGCGTGTCGAGTTAAAGCAAGCTAGCGCTAGCGGGTTGTCGTAATCCAGCAGAAAGAATGATCAGTTATTTGTATCCCTATATCCGAAAGCGCCAGGAATCTAGAATTTCCCCGTATTTCAGGGGTCAGGAGCTAAGTAGAGACAGAGTCCAGCTTAAATTTATACACACCTGAAACCGTCCATAACTTCTCAAGGTAGACGAAAATAAGTACTGCATGGGCCTGATTTAGAAATTGCTATCTGGAGTCAGTCGTAGCCTCCATATATGGAATTGACAACGACACTGACAATTTCAAATATGGCATGCCACGTCACCCGTTCCCATACTGCCAATGCTCCGAGTATGAAAATACCTAAACCAGTGCACCCAGCGAAGAACAGATAGTGCCGCTACATCACATGAGTTATGAGGCAGAGTCAGCACGTGTCTGCGGGAAACTTCACCAGACCCACAGACAGCGGCCATTTCACGGACGCGGTTCAGAAGAGTCAATGGTGCATCTCTATTCATGCTTCACCGAGGGATCTTGCTTGTGCTAAGTGCTCGATCTTTTGGAAAACGACATAACACACATTGAGAACAAAAAACGACGGAGAGGTTCAATTAACTGCTTCAGGCCCAGCTACAACACACCCAACACTGATCGCCCCAATCGAAAGCCCATGACTCCAACGGGCAGTCTGGACGTGCTCGAGGGAGGCACGGGGATGAGCTTGGGCACTCTATAGTTACATGAGGAGGCGATGGTGCCCTCGCCCTAGTGGGAGTGGAAGCGGCAGTTGAAGTAGCAAGGATGGTGAGGTAGACGATTTGAACGAACTTCATGATATCTGGCATAACTATGCTTCAGGCTATGATGTGAACGTGTGAGGAAACCACGTACGGACAAAAGTCGGATTGTGCAAATGTGCGCGAAGTTGCTATGAAAAAGTCTTAGAGGAGCTATTATATGACGCTTCAATGAAATGCGCATAGTGTGTCGCAAGAGGGCTACTCACTGCAACAGTAGACGGTCGTCTCTGAGGCCTTTTCAACTCGACCGTGTTGATTTTATACTTGTTCTCATTAGCGGTGAAACTACGCTCGGAGAAAGTTTTATACCGAGAAGACATGCAGCTCTGTTAATGAAATACATCTCCTTGGAAATCCGCACTGCGCAGGCCTGTGGCGCGCCAATTTGGTGACAATGAAATACAAGTTAACCCGAGATAGCGGGTTGTAGTGATTCAGCAGGAAGGATGATGAACAAATTGGTATTTGCATAAGATCAGATATTGGCCACTGCGGAGCGTCCTTAGCTTCAGATCATTTCTGAGCGGAGCGTAGGGATGCAGGTCAAGCAACACCTTTAAATCGTCAGCTACGCGTCAGAAGAGATACAAAAGCTTGACTAGCTAGTGTGACGCGAGTGTGACGTGCTATAACGCCGACATTAATAATATTATGTAATAAGGTGATGTGTTCATGACCCACTCATTTAAACACGAGAAGAGCAAGAAGTTCCTCAGCCGGCCAAACGCACACGAACTTAGGGCGGTGCTACGAAATCCAAGAAGGCTTCAACTAGGCGCAAATACAGGAAACGATTATTCAAGGTAAGTCACGACAGTTTTGTAGTCAGCCCGATTCTAATGACTTTTGCTTAGTATCATACTATACTACCACTTCATTTTATTTTCATCTCCATTCGCATGCTCATCATTTGCCACTGTTCGCTCTCACGGACTTACAATGGACCTGCAACTGCTCGTATGTTTCTTTTTCACTCTGCCGCACTCAATGATGTCGCTTGTATGATCTCTTTTCGTTTCCAACTCACTCGATCAATCGGACCAACCAACGCCACGTTATACAAGGCCCGATCAATGTGCGGTAAGTTTGGTCCCAGGAACTATCCTCCTACTCCTTCTCTCCCAACAGCCCTCGCCTTCAAACAATCAGACTTCCAAACATGCTTCCAGTCCGGTTTCTGTCGCAGAGGACGTGTCCTCGCAGCACGATTTCAAGAATCTCCATCGTCATGGAACTCCTCGTACTCAATCAAAACCCCAGAACCTAGCCCTCACTCGTCCATCTATCCCGACGTCAAATTCGTGTTTGATATTATTATGCACGAGGAAAGCATTGTACACGTGCGAATAGATGAAGAGGACGGACTGAGGAAACAGTATAGCGAAGCTGCTCAGTGGGCGGAGAACCTTTGTTGAATGATGTTCTCTGGATGATTGACAGGGAAAAAGCCAAGGCTGTTTATGGACCGAAGACGGATATGGAGCTTATCGTCGACTTTAACTCTCTCAAAATCACGCTTTACCGCGGCGGCATAGAATAGATCGTATTGAACAGGCGCGGCTTACTTACTGCACATGGAGTATTTTCAGAACCGAAGATCCTAACTATGTGGATACATCGAGGCGAAGTCCCCCAAACACGCTCCCTCCCAAGCACAACAGGCTCCACCGCAAAATACACAGACCCCTTCCGTCTTTACAACATAGATGTCTTTAAATACCTCTCATACCTCTCAAACTCGCCGACTTCTCTCTATGGCTCGATCCCGCTCATGCACGCGCATTCTACAATGTCGACGGTGGCCGTTTTTAATGCTATTGCTTCGGAGACCCCTTCCCGATGGCTCTCGCGCCTTTCCAACGGTCATCATAGCAGGTAACGTTTCGCGCGGTACCTTTTTGACCGAGCAGAAAAATGAATTTGATATGGATGTCTCACAATACGTTGCTGTCCCGCAACGGAACATGCGAGTTCACTGTTATTATCCTAAAGGACATGTGTGTTTCACCAAAACTCCTTTGCCTGCCGCCAGCAGGACCTTGCGATCCTGGAGTACCTCCTCATCGCCTAGATCTCGAACAAAACTGCATTTGCGTTATCCGACGAAACCTCGGTAGAAAAAGTATTAAGTAGTCAGAAATGCACGCGCACGCGGTTGCGCTGCGTCGTCGTTTTCAATTCCTCAATACACTCGAAAGGTCAACTTGATTCCCTTGAAAGTACTCATACGAGCTCGGTTGGTCTTGAAGCTTGAAAGCTTCACCTTCACTCCGTAGGTTCGCACCTTGCCTCAGTGGAGTTGAATAATCTTCGGACACTGTGATGCCAATGGCTTCGAAACAATGTATGGCCGTTAGCCATCTCTGAGCGGCGCGCAGGGATAGTGGTCAAGTAATGCCTTCAAGTTGTCAGAGCTTGTCACGGACGCGGTTCAGAAGAGAGCCAATGGTGCATCTCTATCTATGCTTCACCGAGGGATCTTGCCTGTACTAAGTGCTCGATCGTTTGGAAAACGACATGACACACATTTACTTGTATTGAGAACAAAAACAACTGAGAGGTTCAATTAACTGCTTCAGGAGTCCCAGCTACAACACACCCAGCAATGATCACCCGAATCGGCAGGCCATGATCCTGATGGGCAGTCTGTACGTGGGCGAGGGGCGCATGGGCCTGGGCAGTATATACTTGGCACTGGTGCCCTCGGCCTAGTGGGAGTGGAAGCGGCAGTGGAAGCGGCAAAGATGGTGAGGTAAACAATTTGAACGAACTTCATGATATCTGGCATAACTGTGTTTCAGGCTATGATGTGAACGTGTGAGGAAATCACGTACCGACAAAAGTCTGATTGTGCAAATGTGCGCGAAGTTGCTATGAAAAAGTCTGAGAGGTGCTATTATATGACGCTTCAATGAAATGCGCATAGTGTGTCGCAAGAGGGCTACTCACTGCAACAGTAGACGGTCGTCTCTGAGGCCTTTTCAACTCGACCGTGTTGATTTTATACTTGTTCTCATTAGCGGTGAAACTACGCTCGGAGAAAGTTTTATACCGAGAAGACATGCAGCTCTGTTAATGAAATACATCTCCTTGGAAATCCGCACTGCGCTGGCCTGTGGCACGCCAATTCGATGACAATCAAATCCAACCGAGATAGCGGGTTGTAGTGACTCAGCAGGAAGGATGATGAACAGATTAGTATTTGCATAATATCAGATATTGGCCGCTGAGCATTCTTAGCCTCAGGATAATCATGTAACTAGGAAGCTCCAACCTATCGGGCCTGTGCAACATCTCCTCACAATGCTTGGCTCCCTCGACGCAAGTCTAATATTTCATGCCTGAGGGGTCAAGTTCCCTAGTACACTTATGTTGTGCCATCCTAATTATTATTCCGTGCCATGGGGATCCTGTACTCATCCAAGGCATCCAATACTTGCCCGAGGTGCCTATCATCAGGAAAAAACATGTTGACTATATAGACCTATATAGTCAGGGTAGTGCGTGTAGTTCCGTAGTCAAGTCCCTTCTATGTAGTCAGCGCTGTACTACATAGTATCATGTAGCAGGCTACTAGCAGCTACGAAGTACTACTGTAGTTCATAGGAGTGCTACTACATGCAACTACCTGCAGCTATATAGAACCCATAGTTTGTCGGAGTGCGCAGTAACCAGCAGCTAAATCACATGCAAAAAAAAACCAATAGCATCTGAATTCGAGTACCCGACACACGAGATAGTATAGTATAAATGTCCTACTCAATCCTCCTCTTCATCTGCACCTATAAACCTGCCACTCTCGCTACAAGCCTCCACATCCTCCTCCTCCTCTTCATCCGCATCTATAAGCCCGCCACTCTTGTTGTCGTCCGATACGTCCGAGCCGAAGAAGACCGAGGGAACCAAAGCTGAGGAACAGGAGGACAACTAGATGGTGCGAGTGCAAGGATAAAGGCACAGGGACGAGGGAGAGGTGACATCGGGCCCAAAAGCTGAAAAGTTTCCAAGTTTTATTTCAATATATCAGTTAGAAAAACAACTTACAGTATCAGTATAAAGTCTAGCGAAAGGACGAATGAATGTCTCAATTCTCTGCAGAAACTGAGATGTGAGTTTACATTAGTTCATTATTTGATTACCAGTATTGATGTGACGCAGTAGGCTTACCTGTTAGGTAGATGTTTCGTCAATGGAGTTCTTTGCAGAAACTGAGACTAGGTTTACCTGTTAGCTCCGTCGCTCCATTCGCTCGCCTCCATTCACTAATTCTCGCGAGGAGTTCATAAGGCGCAGTGCGCTCATAGAATAAGTGCGCATGTACTAGTAGTAGCCAATCATTAATCAAGTCCTGTCAATGTCAGAGTGAGAAAATCTTGAGCTCGAATGAGGATCGACACACTCACTCTCTGCAAACGGTGGTCAACGACTTCGATCAGCATGGCTCGAGCCCGAAAGAAGATCAACACACTCACAAACTGTGAATGGCAGGCAATGATTTGAATCAGCATGACTCGAGCTCAAAGGAATATTGACACTCACAGGCTGTCACTACTGTGCACCTTTGCGAAATCGGACAACAAGGTGCTTCATTTGTGGGACTTGAAGACAGGTGTTGTGTTGAAGAAGACCTTGAATAATTTGGTTTAAATAGAAAGAACAAGATTGGGATAAATAAAAATCATTGCGCACCTCAATATGAAAATTTAAATAAGAAACAGGCAGCTGTCTCGGGCAGAGAAGTTAGAACATCGAAGTTGGGAAAATTTTTGATCATACGTGAGCGCACCGTCACGTGAACAAACATGTACAAATGTTGGACTTTGGAAGTTTTCGAACCCTGTACCTCTCTATTGGCGACATTGCAAAAGAAAAACGGCAGGAAACATCAGCACGAGCGCAGTCATCTCATATCTGTTTCCCACTCTTCAAGTTCCATACCTGCAGCAAGCCGTCCCATGAACAAGTCATTATCTGTTCTCCGCCTGGCAGATGTATAGCTTCCTCGACTGAATGGGTGTCCCTCAAATCTCTGGCGGGGTGTGATCGTCGGTCCCTCCTTCCTTCTAATGATGGGTGAAGACATCTAGGTGCAGTTCCATCTCAGGTTTCATCCAACAAATCCCAGTTCTTCACTTACAATGATACGTTCCTCAGCTTCTCAGAATGTATTGGCAGCAAGGCACAAAAAGTGTTTAGGTCAAGAGTGCCGACACTCTCGCATGTCGTGTTGTGCAAGTAAGTATTATCTATGCTTGGTCATCAACACTCATCTTTACAACTCGTACATCAGGCATATCTACATGTTCAACTCGGAATCAAAGCTTTGGGTGGCAAATTTTTCCAATGATAGTACCGTGCAGCACTTAGTCGAGGCATTTTACAAAAACATGTGCGGGGATGGCACAATGAATTCCAAGCGAGCTGCCTGGGCGCTGCACTGAGCAGTCCAGTTGTTGGCCTCCGACAAGGACTTACCCTTGGACCAGCGCATAGTGTTCGTGCATATTGGCGTATGATCTATTTCGTGTGTCCTCTCCCTTTTTTGTCAAGTGTTCTTGAGACCATCTAACCACTTCGCATGTAGTATCCAGCCATGGCTACGTTGCCAATAACTCCAAATTCGATATTTCAGTGAGACTGTACACCTTCACGATGTACACCTAAATCTGATGTCAAATTCAATTTGTATTTTCCAGTTTGTTGCCTTCGAGCGAAAGGTGGCTGCTCCTAAGGTTTGTGTGAGGGTCATGTTCAACATTGTACCTTCGGTTTGAACGTGGTCTGGCATATCATCTCATAACGGCAAGACACTTTTGACACTCTTTCCACATCTCCGGCTGAATGCCATTGTCCAAGACATTCTGCATGTCCGCTATTAATTAGTTTTGTTACTACCCAGCTACTATCGACTACGAACTGAAATTTTGCTATTGCGACTCCTGGTTACTACCAGCGCCCACCGTAGCCTCCTGTAGCCCACTGTAGCTCTATATAGTCTGAGTGACAGCTACGTGAACTACATAGACCTATGGTGACTATATAGTACTATATAAGCGTCACCAGGACTCCTACGATTTTTGTTTTTTCCTGATGATGTGAGGGCCAATCTCACTGGACTCGTCAAGTATTGTTGAGGAACTAACTTACTTATCGCCAAGTTCGGCCTATATTTCACAACCATCTGTATATATATACTTTACTCGGTCTTGTGCGGATTATCGTGTTAACCAACGCCTTGGCACCTTCAATTGGAATTAATGTTGAAAAGAAACTCCCGCGACAATTCGTCGCGTCTGAATCATATGCATCAGCGCTCAGCTGCCATCGAACATGCAAACCACACCAATATATGACTCCAACGGCATCGGACAACATTGCCATTTCGATAAAGTGTTCACTCGTCCATCTATCCCGGCGTCAAATTCGTGTTTGATGTTATTATGCACGAGGAAGGCATTGTGCACGTGCGAATAGATGAAGAGGACGGACTGAGAAAATAGTATGGCAAAGCTGCTCAGTGGGCGGAGCACCTTTGTTGAGTGATGTTCTCTGGATGATTGAGGTTATTTATGGGCCGAAGACGGATATGGAGCTCATCGTCGACTTAACTCAAAATTACACTCGAACACTAATACTGTATAATAATTCGCCATTCATTAGCACTTTAGCATTCAAACACATCAAACGCCAGGTCTACTCGGAGCCTCTCATGTAGTTCACAGCCTAGGGTGAACGACACAGCAGTACTACTCATAGTAGGTACGTGCAAACCTGATGAATTTCGCATCTTGCCAAACTTTGGCAGATATCTGGCTTCAATGCGCCGAAGTCAAGGCGACTCGATCCAACTCCAGGCGATTGAATTTTTTTTAACAAACCTAGGATCACCCGGCTATTCTCCATACCTCCATCCCGCCCTCGCCTCCAATGCCCACCACATCCCCAGCCCAATCCACCGCAAGCACCTTCATCCCATCCCATACCCTGAAACTGGTCACAGCGCCTTTCGTGCTCCGCATGTCCCACAAACGCGCAACGCCATCATAACTGCCAGTAACAACCTGATTTTTCCCACTTTCAGATGTGGCAATGCAGGATGGAGTCGCGGGGTGCATCATAACGCCTGTGGAGGATGAGAGGGACGAAACACGGAGGTCGAAGATGGACACGGTGCGGTCCGTGGATGCAGCGAGGAGAACGTTCCCATCGGGGGTTTCAGCAAGGTCGAGCATCGGACGCTCAGGCACGTTCTGATGAAATAGATTCAGTTTGAGTTTCGATAACTGGGGATAAGACTTACAATAGTATTCATACATACACCACTTTCGACATCCCAGGTTCGCACCGTCGAGTCAAAACCACAGCTATAGGCCTTACCTTTCGCAGGCTCACCTGCAGCAAAAATTGCTTTTGACACGCGTGCAGTGTGCGATTTTAGTACTGCTATGGGTGCTTTCCGTTTTATGTTTGCGGGTGCAGTCTTACGCCGCTTTTTTCTATCATCTCCGCGCTCCAAATTGACTTGGTGGTCATCGGGTATTGAAGTATCCCAGACACCGATGAGGCCATCCCACGAAGAGGTGAGGAGGTGTGAACCAGATGCATCAGTAGATATGGAGGATAGTGGGCTGGTGTGAAGATGTAGAGAAGCGACAGTGGATGCAGTGGGAGTCTCTGAGTCCAGATATATGCGCGTAAGACACGCAGTGAGGTCATGCGACGAACTCGCTAGAATGCGAGACTCGATGTCTGATGGCGGGGATGGTACTATGCAGACGGAAGTGATGGGTGATTGGTGCACAGAGGCATCAAGAACCAGATTTTGCGAATAGTCGAAGAGACGTAGGTGACCGTCATAGGATGCTGTGACGAAGTGTCTGTGGTGATAATTTAAGGTTTAGTGGATGGATCACGAAGTGATGTACGCTGGCTCAACATACTGAGGTATTCGACATGACACTGAAGATACCCAATCCTCGTGCGGAAGCTCGGACATCCGCTGAGGGGGCATTACACTCTCAAAATACTCGATCTCTAAAGTATCTTCCTGTCATAAACGTTAGGCTCTCTCTCAAATACCTTGATCGCTTGGCTCACCTCTCCCACACCTTTTTCTGTGCGCCATTCTAAAAGGGACGTTCTAAGAATCTCGCCATGGACAAGGAAGTCAAATGGAATAGGCTTGGGGAGGTCGAGTGCTTTGTTGATGAGTTGGGAGAGCTGGTAGCGTTTCCAGTCCAAGGGGATCATGAATTTTTGGGAGGGGAGTGTATAGGGTGTTTGAGTCGTGAATACGACTGGGTGCGAGGGCACTGCGGATGGTAATGACGCCATGGTTGATGGTGAGCTCGATACCGGTACACTCGTTCAGTGAAACCGTCTAAGTATCAGATTCATATTTTTCTGTGACGGTGTCACGGTCACTAAGTTAGACTTTATGTCACACACAAGTTCAACAAGTCTTCGGTTGGTCTTTCGAGTCCACCCCGGCGGTGTACTTGCGTCGCTAACATCAAGCTTCAACGTTTCAACATTTATCTGCACTAAATCATACTTTTCAAGCCACACGTATGTGTTCATTAGATATTCAAGAACGTGTTTCACCTGTTACCGTTGTCCGTACTTGTTCAATTGCAGACAAACCAGCATGCTAAATGCACTGACGGCCCCAAAGTAAGTTAAGTTATCTGCTCAACAGGCACGCCGTCAAGGCTGTATACTCAATCTCTGAATCTTTTATCGTATGCAACCTGGTCCCTTATCATTATCTGGGCTCACTCACATCATTTCGCGGCGCGACCTTGACTGACCTATTATTAAATAGATTGGACCATGATAGAGCAAAACAGGTGAGAATTCGCTATTCCGCCGCAGCTCGAAACCCGCCTTCTCACGAGCACATCCAATACACCGTCTGCCAGAGAGTATATAAGTAGGGACCCGTCTACACGTTATCTCTTCACCTTGGAGCATTCCCTCATCTTAGTATCATGTCCAGCTCTGTTGACGAGAAGGGTGGCGGCTCAGACAGCCCTCATAATGATTCTATCTCCGTGTATGAACGACCAAAGGGCTTGCGTGGTGTTTACTATCACCCCATAACGCAAATTGTCATGGTTGCTTTTGTCTGCTTCTTATGCCCTGGGATGTTTAACGCCCTCACTGGACTCGGCGGAGGCGGTCAAGTCAACCCAACGATTTCTGCAAACTCAACTTGTGCGGTATACGCGACATATGCGTTTTTTGCGTTCTTCTCCGGGTAAAAATATTCCATCCCCATGATCATCTGATGATTAATGGAACGTAAAAATTGAAAGAACTGTCAATAACAAGATCGGCGCTAAGCGTACCCTGCTCTTTGGAACATTGGGGTATGCGCTCTATGTCGGTTCTTATCTGCAAGTTCTTTTTCTTTTCCTGCTAGTCTACATCCTTATGCCTAACCCAGCGCAATTAACATCCACCCTGGCGCTGGCTGGTTTGTCGTTACCTCGGGTGCCCTTCTCGGTGTCACTGCTGCGTTCCTGTGGACCGCTCAAGGCTCAATCATGCTAAGTTACTGTACTGAGGCGCAGAAGGGCATCTTTATCAGTATATTCTGGGCCATTTTCAACATGGGAGCAGTCGTAGGCGCTACCGTGTCCTTCGGGCAAAATATCAACTCAACGGTACGTACTGTGGTGCATCATTGACACCAGCTTACAACTGCGGCTTCAGAACAATAGCGGTAAGTCTGCCCCCTCGTCATGGTTTCCTCTTAATTCAATTCGTCTGCTACCAAGTCAGCAATGGAACATATGTTGGTCTTCCCAAACACTTCGTTGGCACTGTCACTAACCATGATTACTGCACAGGTCGGAATCCTGATTCTCACAATACTTGGAGTGACAATTCCTCTTCTGATGGCCGATCCCGACAAGATGATTCGCACGGACGGTACGAAGGTCGCGATGCCTCGCCATCCGTCCTGGAAGTCCGAATTTTATGGCCTATGGGTTGCAATCATCACAGACCCCATGATCCTCCTGCTCTTCCCGATGTTTTTTGCGAGTAATTACTTTTACACATGGCGTGCGTGACTCTTAATTCCCACTATTTGAAGTACCTGACCCTCTGGGCAGAATTCAACGATTACAACTCAGCACTGTTTAACATCCGCGCGAGGTCTCTCAATAACTTCATGTACTGGTTCTCGCAGATTATTGGCAGTGGAATGATCGGTGTCGTCCTAGACTCCAAGAGGCTGCGGAGACGTGTGCGCGCGTTCACTGGGTGGGGTATCCTACTGGCGATGACATTTGCAGTACACATCTGGGCTTATTATTACCAACGGTTCGCATTCTCCAGCATAGATAGACCCTCCCGCTAATTCTTCATGATCTATATTCAGAACGTACACCCGCGCTTCCGTTCCCTCGGACTCGCAGAAGATGGATATTTATGACCCAAGATACCCAGCGCATATCTGGCTCATGATATTATATGGATTGCTGGACGCGATGTGGCAGACGACGAGCTTCTGGCTCATCGGTGCCATGAGCAATGATACGAACAAGCTGGCTATCTACTCTGGGTTTTGTACGCCTTGTCTCTGATTTCATCTGGTATGCGAGTCTCAACTGTATTTGTTTTACAGACCACTCCATTCAGAGCGCCGGAGCTGCTGTTGTATGGCGGATGGATGCAATTGGGGTTCCGTAAGTCTTAGTCACTTGACCGATTGACCAGGTTCAAAAGTTGACCCTGGTCTTACAGCTATATGAACATCTTCCTCTCTACGTGGTGTCTAGTTGTCGCTGGTCTTGTATTCTGTTTCCCGATGATCTACCTGCGTATCAGAGATACAACTGTGCTTGAAGACGAAGGCTTGTACGTGACTCTTCCTCCTTCATGTGTCTGTTTTCGGTCACTAATCTGTGCCATGTGTAGAATGCAGAGAGATCAGGGGATAGATCATATGAAGGCGAAAGGGATGATCGAGAGCGAGGTCGAAATATCATGAACGCTTTGGAGATATTATATGTATTCGTGACCATTCACGCAAGTCAAATTGAAAATCTGGCTGTATAGCTGCAGACGTTGGATTCTGTCCACTACTGTTCGACTTTGAACCTTTTGAATTTGCGACAGGCGAAATACACTATGGAAAGCTGGACGCACAAGCTGCATTCGATGGGCAAGGTTGCCTAAGTATAGAAGGACTGATTTTCCTCATTTGTCTATGGTCTAAAATCGCGTGAAACGCACGTACTTATCATATTTTGAGTGGACACGCGAGTGTATTTTGGGAGATGCAACATGTGAACCAGATTTTATGCCAATCATATGACCATGTACATCGTGCTTATCCACGATAGCGAAAATGACAGGAATAAACAGCAGGAGGACCATATGCTCGAACCATCGAGCCCATCCATCAATCGAGTGTTATCTACATAAGCTTGTTTATACTCATGTCAAGTGGGACTGTTATCCTTGGCGCGGGTATCTTCGTTAGGTATGCAAGATAACCAACTGTTTGACTTACCCATCATGCTCCGAAGTCTGAACATTCAAAGTTCACCTTCTAGTGGTATTTCAACAGGACACCTTTCCTGCACTGCGAACACTTGGCCCCTCTCGCGCCAAAGCCTAGTGGTTTACTCGCGATCAGGGAAAGGCGCTCGTGAACTCGCTGCCTAAGCAACAGTCCTCCTCAATACTACCCCTTCGCGGAAGTACATCTTTAAATCTCTGATGCACTCCTCGCCAAGTCTGACATTTCATCCATTATCATCATCCTCCAAACCACCCATCCATTATCTTGAAAGCACTTGCCGCCGGTAAACACGTGCTAAGCCAAAGCCCGTTGCAGTAGACTTGGCGTCTGGTGTCAAATTGATTGCTCAGTATGAAGCGTAATATAGGCCCAAGGAGCTCGTGTAGAGAGGAGCCGAAAATTGGGAGGTTGAGCCGGCAAGATAGGAAAAGTCACTACTCTCATACCGTTAACACCGTGGACCAAACCAAATGGTATACCTTGACGTGGCAGATTTTTCTAGAGGTAAGTCAATATAATTGATCTGTTGTATGGTCTGACAAGATTTGGACTACGTCTTCACTTCAGCATCAAGGAGGATTCGTGGTAAGATCCATGCTGTGCTTACTACACACTGAAACGGCTGACAATTAATGAGTTTAGCTGGATGCCGGTGTGATGAGTCCCCACGGGGCAGTATTTGTGAACACCAACGCTGATTTGCTTCCAGCACTCCGTCGCAGCACTTCGTGTCATACTCCTAGGTGCGATGACTCACCTATCCGGATTTGCATCGCTCAACAAACAGTTGCTTGCTCCCCACGATACTATTAACACCATCATAAAAATGCGGTTTACTCACACGTCGTTTTGAGCTCAGTTTCGCTGCACCTAGCCCATCTCGAGTCGTTGCGATGTAGACCGAGGTATTGTCGTCACCGACACAGATGGCTGGCTAAGGTCCAGCGAACCATGGCCTATGACCTCATCCTGCAGACCATTTTTCGCATGACTATCTAGTCGGTTACCCGCGATGCAAATGAGGTACTTGGCCCTGAAAAGGAGGATGGTATCGATGTACCTATCAGAAGTGTATAATTGGAGCAGGCCAGCTTCTTTGCGACCCTGGATGGAAAAGACGATGGCCTTGGCAGCTCCCTTGGCACGACGTCGCGGCTATCGAGGCTGCATAACCAGTGGTGGAGAGGTCATCTATCTTGAGAAATTGCATCAGTCAGTCTCAGATGTGCTGAAGCGCTGACTGCCGCAGCATCATGGACATTGGACAAGCTGCCACGACGCAAAGCAACTGTTGCTTAGTAATTAGGCCTCAGGGGCTGGCGGCAGTGAGGTCACGTTGTCACGGCATCGGCCCGTGCGCATGTCACAACTGCTCCAACTCGGTTGAGTCGGATTGACATCAAAATTATAAGTTCCATTCGGCCCTACATCATGTTGCGGATTGCCTGTACTCGTAACTATCGTCAGAGACAACCCCAAGTGACCCAGTTGCGCGGTCCGCCAATCAATTTAAATTTCAATCGGCACATCAAGTTTGGGGGCATCCGAGTCCTCCTGGTCATGACATTTGACGCAGTGCACATCTGGGCTTATTCCTATCAGACTTCCCTGGCATGTATATATATAGGCCTTCCCACGATTCTTGGCGATTTTGTATGCAGGACTTACACCCGCGCGTTCAAACGTTCATCAGTGACGGCAGGCTCCCAGACGACGGATATCTACGACCCGCAGTTTCCAGCGTATATCTGACACATATATTCTATGGCCTTCTTAAACGCAATGGGGCAGACAGCGAGTCACTGGCTCATCGGTGCCACGAGTAATGATACAAATAAGGTAGTTATATATGTAGGATTTTGTGCGCCTCCGTCCTTTTCTTTGTTTGGTTTAGAAGCTCTGATGATCACTCCATCCCTGCTGGTGCGTGGCAGATGGATACAATTGATTAGGTTCGAAAGCTCCACCTTAACTCCGACCTTATAGCTACAAGAGCATCTTCCTATCCACGCGGTGTTTACTCGTTGCTGGTTGTGTTCTCTTTCCCCATGATTTACATGCGCATTAGAGATGCAGCTGTACTCGAAAACGAAGGCTTGTACCTCTCTGCATTTGTTAAGTCCATGTCTTGTGTACAGAATGCAGAGAGACGGAGATCAACGACTCGGATATTAAGCCTTAAGGCAAAAGGGATGATCAACAGTGGGAACGGAATCACATGAGCGCATCAGAGATTTCATCGGCAGTAACCTGTACAGAAGTATGATTCTGTAATCCTTCAGTACTTCAAAGTTCAAAGTCCAGCGACGAACTTCGAGTACAACGACCAGATCTCAGAGTGAATACATACTACAATCCTTGAGGTCAAAAACCAGAGTCTCCAATCGGTTTTCTTTTCTACTGTCGTTATATGGCATGATATGACACAGATACGTGATAAGTGAAATACATCGTCAGGGTCCCTGCGGCAAGCTAGATGTGATCCTCGGAACTTCTACGACGTTATCATCATTGTCAATATTAGAATCTTCGCCTGCAGTCATGGAGACGTCTCTAGAGTCGGTGGATTTGAGCCCTTCGTTACGCATATGCTGAGACGTGAATTCGATACCGGAGTATTGTGGTGATTGGACAGCGGTTTTACTGGAAGATGTTGAGGATACTGTGGAGCTAATCCAGCCGTTCCCCTGGGCTTCACGGAATATGATCAGCAAGGGGGCAATGAGCTATAGAGAGTCAGTGCAAAAGCTTGAATTAGCATGATAATACTGACTTGTGCCTCTCCAAGTACTTGCATGAACACGTTCGCAATTGGACTTTTCGTCGCGAATGGGATCAAGAACAGTAAGGAGAACGTGGAGTAAATCGCAGCGCTCTCGACGATCACTGACTCGACACTAGTGTGTTCCGCTACGTGTCCAGGACCTAATAACGCTTGCTTCATGTGGAGACGATATAAGTATAGGCGGAGTACGATGAGGATGGTGACGGTGATATTGGTGGCAAGTTCAAAGAAAAAGTATGGAAGGGTAAAATTCACATTCATGCCAGCAGCAGAGTATGGTGATGATAACGGGGATGAGATCTGGTAGAGAAAGAGAACGCCGAACACTGAGGAGAAGAATGCCAAGGTAAGTACATATGAATGCACAACAATGTAGATTATTTACCGACAGATCCGAGGAACATGGTCCCTAGCATCATAATAATTGGCCACGGACAATTTCCACAATCACGGTATATGATCACGCAGCGCCAGACCTACACTTATGAGAAATGATGATGATATGACTGTCTCGACTGAAACTCACCATGAGCGCTGTAGCACACCAATCTGCCAGGACAAAAGAGACATTGGATATCTCGTCCACACTGATGGAAAACATATCAACCTCCCACGCACTGGGACCACCTGGAAAATTTCGATCGTTTATGAAGGCGAGCTGGGTGAATTGGGAATTGGAGCCCATGAAAAGCGATCCTAGAGTAAACATGACGCAGACATAGACGAGAAAAAAGCAATTTCTAGCGTAATCTGCGTCCTTCACTCGCGTACGGCGCCATAATAACTGCAGACAGAGCCAGAAAAGAGCAAGGACGACGCCATAGCCGATGCCGGTCATGATGCTACCAGCCAGCCATGTTTTCTCGGCATAGAGCTGAGCGGGGGACTCGTCTGGTGTGTAGGACATGGAAAATGGGTATAAGTGACCCTGGTAGTGGGGGTTGACTGGGAATTTTTGAAGAAGCCAAAGAGAGGCATGAACTCGACGACAACGGAGATCGTGGCATCGGAAGGCTGCGCTGTGCTAGTAACTTTTATGTAAACGCGACCACATCAGTACTAGTGTCTAAATTAACTCGAAGATTAATTAATCAACTTATCGGTCCCGTAGCTACTTGAAGTACCACGATAGTACAAGGCCCCATCACTACCGCGACAACTTGGTTTTGAAGACATCCGAAAACAGTCTCGGCGACCCTTTCAGGAGCTCTCTGTGGCACATTTGAGTAATCCCTGTCACACTTGCTGCAAGCCTAACAAGTAATATTGTTCTTTTTTTGGTCTTCGCGGACCTCTAATAGTTTAGATAGAGTGTTGATGTTTTTGATTATAGATCACGAAGCACGTCCCGTACGCTATATCTGAACCCAGTTCTGAACCAACCATCCAGAAAGTCTAACATTCCAGCTTTGAGAAGCGGCAAGACGTCCTCGACGACCCTTCAAGTTCCAGTGTATGTTAAGCCGTCCATCAATGTTTAGACAGGAGACACTGGCCAGGTGACAACATCGCCCTCGTAACTCCCGAGTCACTTTGACATAGTACAAGCAAAATCACCATCGCCTAGAAATCTGCGTGCGCGAGAGTCGTGATATTGTTGGGAGGACTATGATAGGGATTCATATCACCATGTGCAGCGTTCACTCACCACTGGAGTCTTGGTACGTGTGCTATTGTATGCCATTTCAAACGAATCCAGATTATCTGTTGAATGTATACTTTCTGTAGACTCGGACCCAGATATATCAACAGAAGTGATGTTTAGACAATAAGGCCTTGTCACTTCGACACCGGCTACGTTGATGCCACCTGACTTCCGAGGGTCGGTATCGACATCTTTAACTGATCGTCTTATGTGTTCCTTCGAACCCTTCGAACCCTCCGAAGCACTTCGACAGATCGTCGATGATGTACTACATATCTCCGAGTCGCGGCAAAGTTCAAACATGGCGAGATTCTCCAAGCTTCGGATACTACACGATGCAGAGCATCATTCATCGAGCCCTCAAATTTCCTTACCTGTAATCAGTTATCGGAGAGACATAACATGACTGCGGCGCATGTCCGATTACCTCGAGTCATGTTCACACTTTCAGGATCTGAAATGACTTCTCAGGAACTGTTGTTATAGTAGGCGTTAAACTACAAGTATAAAACGTTCAAGGATGGATCAGCGATATCTTCACGTTGTTTCGTCACCGTACTACTCATCACCATGACCAGATATCCAGGCATCGTGTATCGCTCCCTCGACCAGCGTCTTCTACATCTGCCACTTCAAGAGGTCGACGTGAGAGTATGGATGGTCGACGGTGAGTTAGAGCGAGATCCACATTCATCACTAATTCGTACTGCCCTTCATAGTCTCTGCGAAAGTCATGGTCTATCAAACTTTCGAGAATGAGTCAGAGAGCCCTACAAGCCGCGCAAAATATGTGTTCCCTCTTCCCGCAAATGCTGCAATTTGTGCCTTTGAGCTCGAACATGCCAATGGGCACGTTATAACCGGTGTTGCAAAAGAGAAGCCAGAAGCCGCAGAAGCTTTTCATGGTGCGATGGATGCTGGAATGTCTGCGGGATCAGTAGAAAGTGTGGTGAGCGCATTACGATGATCCTGGACAACTTCTGACTCGACCTGGATCTAGTATTCACGCTTTCAGTTGGCTCGATCCCCGCCCGGCAGAAGGTCACAGCAAGATTGACAGTGAGTGCGCTCTCAGTTCGTCACAAATACTGTTTTGACGAACGAGCAGTTTGTGATGAATCTTTTCGATGAGGCAAGACAAGATCATATCTGTCTACGGCTTCCAATGACAATTGCTAAACGATATGGCGAGACTCCAGCAGCCTTGCTCAATGCACCCACAACTGATGAAAGGACGCGTGTTCATATCACTGTGGATGTCCAAACCAGCGATGTGATACAGGGCATACGTAGCCCTACTCACCGGATTTCTCCCCCCCAACGATACAGGAAACACGCGGCAACAAAGCCTGAACGACGGATGACCGCAAGGTGGTCATCTACAACGTTCCTAGACCGAGACTTCGTGCTGACGGTACACGCTCTTGGACTTAACGAGCCTCGGTGTTTCGCCGAAGTCCATCCCCAGCGTGCGGATACAATTGCCATGCAGCTCTCTTTCGTACCGAAGTTCGAGATGCCTCGCGTTGCACCACAAGAATACATATTCGTTGTTGATCGCAGTTCGAGCATGATCGGAGCCCCGATGGAAACAGTTAAGCGCACGTTAGGAATGCTCTTTCACCTCTTGCCAGACTCGGATACGACATTCAATATCTTCAGCGAGGTTGATGGTATGTGGGAGACGAGTATGCCATTCAATGCCAAGAACATGCAGTACGCGGTAATTATGTTTTGTCACCGTCAAAGGCAACTAGACATTGAGTGAATTGTGCAGATCTCAAATATACAAGCCATACAAGCCAATAATAGCGGAACGGAATTTGCCCACATTTTGCAGCTTGCAGTAGCATCTCGTGATCGCAATCGCCCGACTATCATATTCGTTCTTACTGGTGGTGGCGTACATCCTGGAGTGAAGCCCCTTGGGATGTTTGCGCGGTGTCGTAGAGTGGTCACACAAGTCTTATCCAGAGTCAAGCACTTGAAGCCGTCGTCCGACTCGAATGTGGGTCTGATGTCGCCTGAGGCTCTACTCGAACTAATGATGAGACAGTCATCCACAAACCCCGATCCATTCGAGGTTGTCTCAGCGGCTGTCGATAGCTGCAGGCCAAACGCGCCATTGAAGCTATTCACCCTCTGGATCGGTGAACATGTCGCATCGGCCGCGTGCGAGCGCCTCGCTCGCTCGAGCGGAGGTGAATGTTTGCTTGCAGTTGAAGCTGAAGACATGATTAGGAAGTGTGCAAGGCTTCTGACCGCTGGCCGGACGGGCGTAATCGAGAGTGTCGTGGTTGATTGGCATGGTTCGGGTAACCCACCAGCCATCAACTTCTCACCCTATCCGATACAGCAGGTTCCACATAGGATCACGAAGATATTTCCCGAGATGCGCTTGAATGTCTTTGCAATCACCACCTTTAGATTAATCCCTCCTGAAATCAGGTTGCGTGTCAAGGTTGAAGGTTTGACTCGGGTCCTCGAGCTCGTGGTACCGGTCACGGTAGTTAAACAACCGTTCAAGGATGAACCTCCACTCCTCCATACTTTGGCGGCACAAGAACTCATTAAGCACCTGGCAGAGGGTAGAATACCACTTCCAAGGCCTGTGGCGCCTACCACGAATGAGGAAGTTCAAAAGATGGCAATTGTCCAATTAGGACTCGAGTACCAGCTTGCGAGCCAGTACACATCCTTTGTTACCATAGAGACCCGACGTGAGATGGAGGGGAGCAGGCTACACTGGACGGCGTCAGTAGAAAGCTCTCGGCAGCAGCATTATAACGCATTCCCACCTAGCATCACGAGTGACGCTCCTGAAGATTATGCTTTGGGAATGGATATGCCTATGGTGCAGACAGTTTTGGACAACTTGTCTCGGGCGGTCGACACAGTGTTCGACTTTTTCACCCCAGATGCTGCTCTGACACACTCGAGACGCCAAAGCTTTCCTGGTACATATTATTCCACCGCACAATCACGTTCGAGCTTGTTGTCCAGTCAGGGCGCACATCTGTTTCATCACGATAACTCGAGCACGAATACGTTCTCCACGTTGAGTTCATTGGAAGGCTCTTCCACCAACTGTCAATGCACCCATTCTCGGTCGTCCAGCCCATTGCGTCCTTCGGCAGATTCGATCCAGCGCATCCCATCGCCAGTCTTCGGTTCAACACGCAACGCATGTCTGAGGGTACGACTGCCGGGACGTGCAGTAGTGTCCGACTCTTGCCCACCACCCGTGCCTAAGGAAGTGTATGCTCTTATCTTGCTGCAGGGCTACGACGGCTCATTCACGTCGTCGCCTCAATTAGAGGCGCTTCTTGGCGTGGAGATCCTAGAAAAGGCGGCAGATTTACAGGTCAACGAGAATGTATGGGCGACTGCTGTTGTTGTGGCGTACCTGAGGCATCACCTGGGTGCGCAACCAGATTTTTTGCACGTTTTGCTGAGCAAGCCTCTGGAGTATGTTGAGAGAAAGGGAAAGAGATTGCTGGCCGGAGGAGAATTTTCAGACTTGGTGGCAATTGCGGGACGCTCTGTAGGATAGTGGAGAGAATACAAATTTTTATGTGTAGTTTAAGGTCTTGTAGTGTCGAGGTTAACACTAGAGGAAAGCTTCGCGAATACAATGGATGTATGTTTCGTGTCGTAATTCTCCGAGTCATAGCCTTCGTTGACAAACACGGCCAATCCATATTTTGGTGCCTTGGGGAAGACGTTCTCTTCAAATGTTTAGCTATGTGGAAGTTGGTTTGAGAAAATTACACGCAACGCACTTATTGAAAACCTCGCACGACTGAGCTTGAAGTGAGAAGTTCTGCGATTCTCTAGCATGGCATCAGTCGCAGACCTAGTCTCGAGAACTCGGGGCAAGTGCGCTCTTCATAATATTGCTAAGGTAGAAAGAGTGTGCGTGCAGGCGACAAAATACTTAGGCGCGGGCTCCGTTGTTCTATAGGCAGATCATCCATCGTGTCGTCCCCATTAGCGTGTACCAATTGTCATTCATGAAGGAAACAGCACATGGCACCCGAGAATAATCACGAGCCACTAAAAATCGACCACGCACTGGCGCCTGGTACATGAGAATTAGGGTGAAAGCTTTGATAAAAGAACTTGTGGAACTCACTTAGTCTTTCGGCAGTCCAGGTACCTGGTATAGGGACTGTTGGTTCCATGCTTTTTAGCATTCCAAGACACGATAACAGTGCTTTTGATGCATGGCTCGGTAGCATCTGCGGTGAGAGCTCACAGAGGTTAGTGAACATGTTGCACCTGTACTTGTGTGGTGCGGGATTCCAATGATGGTGGATTGGCGAATAAGAACTAAAACCAGTTGGACCGGTAGTGAGGGAAGCTCAAAGTAGAGATGAACTACAAGAGAGCACTGGACGTAAGGCACCCTCTTGTGACACATTTGATGACAAGTTTGAGATGTCGTAAGAAGAGGGAACTTCAGTGGGAACAGCCTCGGGCGTCTACTCTGCAGCTTAGAGCAAGAGACCTACGATCCCTCCAAGCTCACCTCGACCACGTCCAACGCCATCAACCTCCAGTAAAATGTTGAAGCCCATTCCAATCACTACACCCTTGCGAGAGTTCAACGGTCATGAACAGTGTATAATGGCAGCCGCAGTATTCCCCGATAAACGATTGGTTACGGGCTCACATGACAAGACGGTTCGTCTGTGGGACTTGGAGACCGGCGTTGCATTGAAGATGGAAATGCATCGCGGGGGGGTATCGAGATTGGCAGTCTCACAAGATGAGCAATTGATAGCAAGCGGTGATCTGAATGGGGAGGTCGTGGTCTGGCACGGAGAAACTGGAGAATTGCTCTCCCAGCCTATCGAAGCTCACCCCGGCGGGTGGATCAGCTCGCTGGATTTTTCTCCTGATGGGACAGTGCTGGCCACTTGTTCAAAGTACGGAATAACAAAATTATGGAACACCAAAACCTGGACAGAGCTGGAAGGAAGACCAATTAAGTGTGGTGATGGTACTTGTTGTGTTCGGTATTCGCCATCTGGAGAATTTCTTGCTATTGCAACATCGAGGATCGACATTTATAATCCAGGCACGAGGGAACTTGTCGCATCCTTCAAGGGTCACAAATCGCACACCTTCTCCCTTGTATGGACGGCCGATGGCACGCGCCTTCTCACAGGCGGCGCTGGGGGCGATCCTACCATACGCGAATGGGATACAGCAACCTGGAAGCAGGTTGGCGATCCTTGGACGGGCCACTCCAATTATATCAATCTCATGGTCATTAATCCTGCTGGCACACTCATCGCATCGGTATCTCCACAAGAGGGTCATGTTCGTCTTTGGCGGGTCTCAGACCGACAAACCGTTGCCATCTTTGAGCACTCACTCGGTCCAGAATGGGCCACTTTCTCCATGGATGGCAAGCACATCCTCAGCGGAGGCAACGATAAAATGATCTCAGAGTGGGCAGTACCCAACATTATAAATTCAAAGGCACGTTTCCGTCCGCGACTCATATATCACAATTTGAACATGTTTCGTGCAGATCTTAGGCATCATGACAGCCCGTATTGCATGCATAGATGGAGACTTGTCAACCGCCGAAGAACTACTCACACAAGATATCAACATCGATGAGAACAACCATACTTCCTACGCTCATCGCTCATTTGTCATGGCGCGAAAACACAACTGGGACCACGCCGTTCAGGATGCAATCACGGTGCGATATACTCACTAATCATGGTCCTGTTATGAAAGACTAACTCGGTGATGACATAGTCCATCAGCATTCAGCCATCGTTGATAGGCTTTATCTCCAAGGGTATTGCCCTCTGCGGAAAGGGCCGCATCCTGGATGCGAGGGCAGCATTTGATGTTGCATCCATGTACACGGACCAAGATCCAGATACCATTCATTTTCTGCTCTTGATCAAGGTATGTCGCAGTTACCTTGCATACTCTCTGTCTCATTCCATATTTCAGGCCATCGCACTGTTCAATGCAGGTCAACATGACGAAGCAAGCCTGCTCCTCAAAGAACTCGCTGCGGGTTGCCCGAATGTCTATACTCGCCCATATCGTATTGTGGAAGTAAGTACCATGCAGCTACACTTGGTCATCAATCCCAACCTTTGCAATCTCGCACATTAGGCATATCTGCATGTTCAACTCGAAAAAGCCTTGGACGGTGCACATTACGCCGAAGCCGCTGACCATTTCATTGCCGCTGTCAACTCCAACAATTCATCATCAAAATTCAACATTCATGAAATATACGAGGACCTGGTGGTGGTGCGTTAAGACGATGTGTACACGGTGCTTTTCTTAACTGAGTATCTTGTCCAGATCTTCGGCTGGGATCTGAAATGTTTGTGGCTGACCACACACCAGAAACGGTGTGATGCACTCCTTCAGGCTCGTGAATTTCAAGATGCCGTGAAATTATACTGGTCCATGATGGATTCCAGTGATGAAAACACCATGGCCGACTACCTCGACTGGTCCAATGGCAAGTCTGGAGTTCGTAATGTAATGCAGGCTACAATACTCACCTGCATTTCATCCAGTTTTCAAGGAAGAATGCAGCGCGCTCTGTATTGCCAACGGAGATATTGCCCTCGCTGCAAGCGAGTATGACAGGGCTATCGACCTGTACTCGGCGGCGATTGCCCTGGATTCTGCATCCGATATCGTCTTTGCAAATCGCAGCAAGGCAAAGTTGGAGAAAATGCTATGGGAGGAGGCAGTTCTCGACGCACAAAAGGTACGCTGGCATCTATGGTTTTGTAGCCCATGTTGACTTCGGCAATGCATAGGTCACCGAACTCAATCCTTCATCTCACGTTGGATACCAGTTGACACATACAGCGCTGCATGGTGCAAAACGTTACGACGAAGCCATCGAAGCATTCACAATCATGTTGTCCAAGTTAGACGATGCTCCCGAAGTGCAGATACGCAGTAAGCCATGGAACACTCCTGCATGATCTCAAATGCCTATCTCATTCTACAGGTTTGCGTCAGCAATATGTCTGTCCATCCCAAGCAGAGGACGCTATCCGAAGGGCAGTTTGGATCGAACTCGAAAATGCCCCCCTTCGTCTGCTCAACACCTCTACGGGTCTTTTGTGCGACCGAGCAGCACAGCTAAACTCTTTCAAAATGAGTTCAGAGTACAATGAGCTTATCACGTTTCCGACGAAAGATTCAAACCTCCGAACGCAGCGCATCAAAGATGTAGTGGCGACGTACTTCCGCTGCGTCCTGCTATCACACAGGTGGGAAGAGGCGGAGGTGTTGCTGCACGACATTCAGGACAAAGTCGTGTACGAGTTGGATGGACTTGGTGGCATCGCGAAACTGCAGTCGTTCTGCAAAGTCGTTCGTGATGCTGGATATTACTGGGCATGGATGGACACGTGCTGTATCGACAAGAAGAGCAATATTACGGAGCTTCAAGAATCGATCAACTCCATGTTCGTCTGGTACCGCAACTCAGCGCTTACCATCGTCTACCTATCCGATATCCCTTCTTCATCTCAGCCCGGTGCACTGGTGGGGAGTGCTTGGAACGAGCGAGGATGGACCTTCCAAGAGTTAGTTGCTCCGCAGGTTGTTATATTTTATCAGAAAGATTGGTCGTTATATCTCGGCGACCGCTCTCCCAACCACAAAGAGTCCCCTGCAATCATGAAGGAGTTGGAGGATGCGACGGGCATAGATGCACGGGCCTTGGTGAACTTCAGTCCAGGTATGAGGGGTGCCCGAGAGAAACTGCAATGGGCATCGAAGCGCGTCACCACTCTGCAGGAGGACATTGCGTACTCATTATTTGGCATCTTCGGTATCACTCTACCTGTCATTTATGGCGAGAAGAAACAGAACGCGCTCGGACGGCTCCTACAGGAGATCGTAGCTCGGTCGGGGGACATCACTGTCCTCGACTGGATCGGACAACCTTCCGAGTTCAATAGCTGTCTTCCAGCGCATATTACCTCTTACACCACTCCTCCATGTGCCCTTTCATCTTTGTCTGAAGATGATATTCAGACACAGGTCTCTTCGCTGCGACAAAATCCCACTGTTGTGGACTCGGCTTTGGAACTTTACGACCGGCTTGATTACACAAGCGCTGCTCGTTTCGCGAACTGCAGGCTGCATCTGCCTTGTATGGCATTCCGTGTCACAGAAGTCAGTCTGAACTACGGTCCATCCCAGGAGACTCAATATAAAGTCAAGGCAGACGGACTTCGTGACCTGCTGATCACTACCAAAGAGCTGAATATTCACTCGCGGACCAGGCCCGTCAAGCAAACCTTCCTGATTGTCCGTCCCTGGGATCGGTCTCTCCTCGATCTACCAGACTTTGCAAATCTGCTAGACGATACGGAGAGCGAGGGGGATTATCGGACACCGCCTTTGTCTCCGTCAGACGACTCACCTAGCCATTCTCCTGTAAAACAGGATGGGGTTGATCTAGAATTGCGAGCATTGCGGTTGCTGGTTCGCCTTGGGCAGCCTTTTGGCGCCTTTTTGCTAGCGCGGCAGCGTGGCGGAGAATACAAGAGAGTTGCGTCGGATCGTGATATCATTGCGCAGGTCAAAGATATGTCTTCTGTTCAAGACTTGCTGGACATTAAGACGATAGAGATATTGTAGATGTATATTTTTTCCTGAAGATGAGGGATCTGGGCGGTTTTCATTGGTACTTTGTATATGTGATACCACATGCATGTGTATTGGACTATCGTTTTCCTTCGAAGAAGACCATGGAAACCTATCTAGTGCGGTAAGCTGACATTCGCCAGAAATGCAAGAGAGCGAAAACAGTGAAGATTCATAGGGAGACGCACTCGTAGCCACTGGTAAGAGGATGAAAGGTAGATAGCGCAAGGGAGACCGAACAAACACATTAATTTACAGCGTAAGACGGCGAATCGGTCGAAGGCCGGTTAACAACTGGCAATTATAAGGCGCTTAGCAGTATACTCCAACATGAAGAATACCAACAAGCCACAGGAAGCTCGCGTGACACGGGAACATGAGTTGAAACAACAGGCGAGAATGGTCAGAATATAGCTAGACATCCCTTAGAGCAAGCAGCAATGGCGACACAGCCCAACCGAAGCAGCAAAGGTTGAACAGCTCACCGAATATATATGCGCATTTTGTTGTGAACGGGGGCTGGAAATTCCGTAGTAGCACCGGGTGGATATATACACGTTGATATCGTATATTGGGTATTACCCCGTAGCAAATAGTCGTTCCTTCTTCTTAGGCGCCAGTGCCTCAGATTCATTTTACCCACGAGCTAGATTGCTCAGATTCCTCCCTGTAATCTACCACCACCGAGCGCTCGACGCGTACGCGTATACCGAGTTCCATGTCGTTGGAATTGCGAGGCGATTGTGCCCTAAGCTCTGCATCGACGGGATTTTTGGAGCCGCTGGAGCCTTTGGAGTGGCTCTTGGACTCGAACTGGGAGCGGAGACCGGACATCACTTTTTTCTGCGCAGTAAGTGTGGGACGCGCGACGATCACGTTTTCCAAGCGTTGGGCATTTGGATCTGTCATTCCTTTGCGTATTTGGGTGATCGGAGCGGAAGAAATGGAAAGAATGAACATCGCGAGCCTTAGTGGAATAGCAGTCAAGCTCTAGAATGGTGCGTACCTCGTATATTGATGAGAATCCGTTGGCTCATAATCCACGTTAAAGCATAACCTACTGATGCCCTAATGCATTTTGAGGGGTCTGATCTCCTTGACGCCAGATGATACGAAACTTACCCTGTCGACTAATAATAGGAGCAAGTCGTTGTGAGTCTCCATGGTATATCCGAAGTTGAGCCTACATACCTGAGTATAGATATTAGTCGTACGATATAAGATGAGATTCAATACGTTCGCCGCTGAGGAAATGTTATAAGAGTGCTCATCACAAGCAGAATATACTTGCCGGACAACACGATGAAATATCCGATGCCGTCATAGATCAGGCTAAGTACAATGAGTGATGCACATCAACTCTGCCAGTGGTAAGGGACTTACACCCGTATTAGCTGTTCTACTCTGACAGCAATGGTTTAGCGACCCGAAAGACGGGAAGGAAAAGACTCACCTGCTACTGAGAGGATTGTAACGCAAAAGATGTACGGTAGAAATTGTCACCATGACAATGTCATACACCAACACAGCGAGGTAATAGAACCAGGTTGACAATACTTTGCCAGCATCTCCCGAGGTGCAGCTATGGTTCATGAAGATCTGAACAGCCCACACAGGTGGTAAACGACCACTTACTTTCCCTAAGAAAGGGATACTGTTTGCATGAGATCTTGTTGTAAGGAAAACTGACGTACATCATAGACAACAGCTGTGTATTGTAAAGGTCAATGAGAACCCAAGATTGAAATATAAGGCAGAGCTTACGAGTCCGGTGAAACATATCGGCGAACCACTCCGCCTAAAAGAAATCAGAGAAAAAAGATCATACTTGTGTTGTAAGAACCCACTGAAGTCGACAGGAGGTATAGCAGCAATAGTATGATTCCTATCCGCCTATCTCGTCTTGCAATATTGAATGCTCTACACAAATTTAGTCTGTGCAGCTGCAAACCATAAAATATTCGACAGGACATACCTGATACCTAGGATGGCCTGTGATATCATTGTTTGTATGGCTACGGCATGGTCAATAAAGTCATGGTAGGCGAACACCGATAGGACAGACCTTTGAATGCAGGCGCCACAAGATAGTACTGTTGACACGTCTGTAGGGTATAGGCGGTGGAGAAGAATCCGTAATTGCTAGTTACTATAGCCATGATACTGATATAGCTGCATTGAATGTGAGCAAAAAAAATCACAAGACAAACTGAGGACAAACGTACCGTATAAGAATGAATAAGGTGCAGGCAAGACTGATGGAAATTGAACTTGTCAACAGTGATACGTGAAAATATGCCAGGGTATACATACCTCATATGAAAAATTGACGATTGGCTTCGGTAAAAGCGCCATTCTGCGGGGAGTGTAAGAACATAACTGAACGTAACCTGTCAGAATATCGTGACAACTACGGGGCCGCAACAAAGAAATAAAACACTACTTACTCGTAAAATGCAACTGAAATGGATGCTACTCGCAAATATTTTTCAGAGGTTAGGCTGTCTATGACGACACGCCGCTCCAGAGCCTCCATTTAATAGATGAAAAACTCGTCCTCTGCGGCGGTCCTTGATAGATTGAGGCGACGAATGACAGTGAAAAAAGGAATGTAGAAAAGGCCACGCGACTTCGGAACAGGCTGATGCTGAAGGCTTTTACGAAGAAAGAAAGAAGGAAGGGGAATGCCAGCAAGGCAAGACTTTTCTACCAAAACGACACTTTGAAATTGATTAAATGTACTCGGGTACCAAACGATAGAAAAGGGGCAATCTTGTCTGGAGTACTAAATCTGTCATGCAAGCCAAGATTGAGCCAGCAAGCTAGCCAGCGAGACATCGGCTGGCATTGGTGAGGCACATCAGGGCACATCTAGGCTGTCTGAGGTCAACTTTGCAGATTAGTAAGCAAATGTGGGGTTCAGAAATGAAATTCATTTATGAGTCCGAGTCGTGCCAAGTCGGTCACGAGACCTGCGAGGAACCGTCACGTCGTCTACAACCCACCCCAAAAGTTTCAAATCAGAAGGGCTACAGTAATTTTCAATTACTCAGTGTTCACCAAGTACTGGTAGGCTCGGGCTCAGGCTGAAGTCGAATGAATACAAAGACAAAGTTCTGGGAGGGCGAGTCTGTCGCTGTGCATCTCACTGCTTCGTATCTACTCAGTCCACATGATAGTAAGCCTTCTTCGGGTTCCCAGAAGGCTATGTCACGGTCACACGACTCTGTCGACATTTTTTTTTCGAAATGGCTCGATCTAAGGCACGCAACCACGCACTGGCATATCTTTTCAAACTGGTGAGTCTTGGTTTACACTGCAAGTCCTCATACTCACTTGCCAAAGCATGCTATTTTATACATTCCAGGCGCAGGGTCATGTACTTCGTCATTCATTGACACATTATGACCGTTAACGCTGTATAATCTCAATACTTTCGAAAGACACCAGGGAGCTTGCTACGAACCGAGAAGGAGCCAGCCTGAACGACATCACTCATCACAGTAGGTACCAGGGTGGGAAGAGTCGAAAGACGGTGGCGCACAGAACCGGATGCCACTACGACTCTTGAGGCTACAAGAAGTTTGTCCATTCTCATATGTCAGTATTCAAGTGTTCTTGGGGTGGATTTTGTCATAATCCAATAAGACGCACGCAAGCCCTCCCAGTCTACGTGTATGCTGACCGGTATGTCTTGTTTGATATTTGACAATATATGTGCCAATTTATGAAGTATAATGGACAGCCAGACTCATCCGCGGACATGTACCAGACCTGCCTCAAGCTATCTGTAAACACACAAGCTCCTGCCGCCCGCTACATAGGCCTTTCCCTTAGTACCAACGAGTGTAGTCGACATTCGAGTTCAGCGAAGACGCACATAACCTACTGCTCCAGTAACCCTTAGCTCATACCTAGAACCACCGTCTTCTGGGGGAGCTCCAAACGTGCTGACCCACGGCGTCGAGCATCACGGGATGTTGCCCATTTCAGAGGGTGTCTTACATCCCGACGCCATCGACGTCCAGTGCATATCAGCTACGCAGTCTACAGAAACGCGACCAGCAGGTATCGGGAGGGCTTGTAAATAATATACGTAGGTAATGTCTACCATAGGGCTCCGGAGGACTAGGATTTTTAATACATATATATATATAAATCAAGAGAGAATTTATATACCGCAACAAACAAACGAGACTAGTACTTAAGACGCGGTGCTCTATGAACTGTCTTGTGCGGTGTGCGAGATAAGGGGGAAAAGGTATGATACGAATAGTAGGGTCTGTTTTGAAGTGTTGATGTTTTCTAACTTGCGTCAACCAGGTCAATGCGAGCTGGTCACCAGTATACAATCGGATGCGATCGAGCAGGCTCACTCAGACAATGAGTCCATCAATGGTAACGATCTTTCAGGAAGGCGATCCTTCTTGTGTTTAACTGGCTGGATGTACGTACAATCATTATTCTCCATAAATCAATCTATTGCGACAGCAAGATCGACAGCGATGTTCATAGACACAATACATACAATGCAATCAATAATATTTTCTTCTAAAATCTATCTTGGCTTTCAAGGCACTATTAGTCCTCTGAGGAGGCGGTGTGCTCCCAACCGGTGCATTCAAGACACTATCAGTCCTCTGAGGAGGCGATGTGCTCCCAATCGGTGCATTCGCAAGTGCAAGCGCCCGAGGGTGGTACTGCAGCAGAAATTTCTGGTACAAATTAATGATAATATCCGTTCCATGGGGCAATTGTGAGTCGGTGATCCTCTTGAGCAGTGAAGGGATATTCTGGATGACAGGAACAGACACGATATGCTGGAGTAGAACTTCTACATTCATTTGCAGGATTGCGGGATACCTGACACACGAAGCTGGTTAGCACTGTGCTATGCCATGATTAAAAAAGGGCTGACTTGGATGTAAATGATGAAGAAAGTTCTTGGAGAATATTTCCCGCATCCAAACTACTTCGTATTGCACAGAAAGCTTGGTCGCGAAGGCTGTCGAGTCGAACCTGACAACTGTGTATTAGGATATATGGAGAGTACCAGGTAAATTTACTCGAACCTTGGAGGCTAAACGATACATCGACTTCGGTGAGCAAGGCCACGAAGCGCTAGGGTTTGGGGTCTCCGCATCAGTTTTGGGCGGTCCCTGCGACTTGAGTGGGGAGAAGGAGATATCGTCCGTATACAGATACAGCAAGAGCGCTTTCAATCTATATATGCGAAATTAAAGGCCCGCCACAATTGTGATGACATGTAACTTACGTCCTGAATGCCGTGTCTCGCATGAGTATCTTCCGGTAGTTGAAAACTTGTGGTTTATATTGAATTGGAGTAGGGACGATAAGCGGTTCTGCTTGTGGTGGGCCAGCCAAGGCAGCGCTTTCGCACATAGTGTCTGCCACAACCAGTAAGTCGTCGTCTGATTCACTTATGTTTCCTTGCACAAGGTATGAAGATTTACGTTGCTAATATTGTCTTGAATCACTTACCTTTAAGGACGGTAGTCACATCGCTGGGAGGCGTAGGATTAGCTTTGACCTCTTCTTCATCTTCAAGATCGCTGTCAGATCCGTATCCGTAGTCATCAAGTGTTATCCCATCTTCGAATTCTGAACCATCTCCGAAGTCGACAAACGTCGCGTCCTGAGGTGATCCCGTTCTGGACAATACTATCGACTCTGATGAGCGAGCTCACCACCTTCATGAGAAGGAAAGGTTACGTTCGGCAAAAAACTCGGAACGCGCTGTCAGAACAACGTCGTTGGCGGACAAGGCTTGGAGTCGGAGGACTTTACGTGGATGTGTTGAGCGGCCTGAGAATACGTGGAACTTGCAGGCAATAGTGTAATATTGATGCATTAGAGCAGGCTAAGTAGCCTAGCTTTGTGATGCATCAAGCTTGCTCATTGTGTGATGCATGATTAATGCATCAGGGATCTGACAGTGATGCATCATCTGTCCGGTACATATTTGGGCTGTGCTGTCCATATTTAGCACTCGTCCATCCATATTTAGCACTCGTCCATCCATCGTGCCCTATATACCCTGCTCCCGGCAGTACCTTGCTTACCTACTCCTTGCTTCCCGCTTCGCCCTGATAGTACCTTGCTTACATACTCTAATTCTTTGGTATCCGGCCACTCAGTACTCACTTTAGTAGGTCTCTTTCTGTCTTTTTCTGCTTACATACTCTAATTCTTTGGCGTTCGGCTACTCAGTACTCAGTATTCACTTTAAGTAGGCCTCTTACCTGTTCCAGCTCTCCGTTGGGATTAGTAATAGGGTTCGAGTTTTGAATTCACTAAGTCTGTGTGAGCCTTGAATTCACTAAGTCCGTTCAAGCTTTCAATGAATTCACTAAGTCCGTTCAAGCTTTGAATTCACTAAGTCCCTCACTCCATTCCGCCACCTTGTTCTGATTATGTAGTATGGAGTCAAAATAACTGTATTGCAGGTGCGACACAATATTTGATACAGGACGTTGTTACAAGTATATACACACACTCTAAATGTAGGACATTGACCGGACTCTCACAACCCTACCATTCAAGAGTGCCGAGCCTTTCTGTGGAGTTTATTAGCGTGTTTTTGCAACAAAATAAAATGGACGTACTTCCGTGAGTCTGCGGGGCGAGCACGACGTGCCGGGACTCCAATGTTGTTATCACGCTCTCGTGGATTGAAGGGAACATTGTTACGTGCACGGAGACGAGGCACGTTCATCTCCATGTGCACTGGCAATGTAGGTGGGTCCATGGATGATGTAGGAGCCGGGGATCTGTCAACACGCCGTCTGCGTGCCCCACGGCGAGGATGAACCTCCGGCTGGTTGAGAAGTGAATCGTCGTCCTGTCCTTCCTCACTATTCGCAGATGGGACAGCAGGGAGCAGCACCTCCATTTCTTGATTTGATGGGGGGCAATCACAGTCGTCTGGAGATGTCAGGTTGGCGGGAGACTGCGCAGGCAAATCTGACGACTTGTCGGTAGTATCAAGGGCCCGCATGGACCAGTCATTGTCAAGGACACCAGGCTCAAAGTAGGGATTGTTGACAATAGCAGCGAAGGCATGGGGATCAAAGGCAGAGAAATCGGCGGTGCCTTCTACGATGGGGTCGAAAGCAGTAGAGTGAGAAAGAAATTCGGTAGCGAGCGATGAATTATCGACAGTTCCAGCCATGCTGCCAAGCGCCGTTGATGCATCAGCTGATGCATCAGCTGATGCCTGGCTAGCAGTTGTGGGAAACGCTTTGGGCAATGCAGAATCCAAGAGGGTATCCAATGGAGTATGTGAGCCACTCTGTGCGCACGGTGAGACACATTTCACTGCATATTGGTAAGCTATTACTCACAGCATGATCCTCGAGAATTTCATCACTGGCAGATTGGGGAGTCATGCGATACAGGTTGTTTGTATCAAAGAGTGCGAGATCCTCGACTTGACTCATATCCTCCTCAACACTCTTTCCTCGTCTATTGTTGTTATCTTCGTCAAAGTCCCAGTCTGATGAGGACTCTTCGTCTTCATCCTCTGCCGTCTCATCATGTGGTAGGGTAGACTCAAATGCTGATTGGGGAGCACGTAAGTCTGTGTCTCTGAATTTAGAAACTTCAGCCATACCGAGAGCGTTTTGAACGAATGCTAGGAATGCAGCTTGCATTCCATCGAAGTCTTTGTACACATGATTGAACTGGGCACCACTTTGAAGTTCGCCTACGTGATAGCTTGATTACGATAAGCACAGTTTTCCTTATGTTTGTGAATGTTGCTCACTTGAAAACTGATGTTTCACCCGTCCTAGGATCACGACCTCCCATAAGAACCGTAAACTTCCACCCGCCCGTAATGTGCGCGAGATATTTGAGGATGCGGTCAAGCATTGGACCTAGCTCCCGAATAGCTCTACCGCAGAGGATTGAAGTCAGTAATGTGACATTCAATTGATTAGTAGGTATGTACTTCACTTTTGTGGCATCATCGAGTTTTAATGGCTTCCCAGACTTCAGCTGCTGGCGCTTTTTTGCGAAATTTGCTTTCGCCTTGCGATACTTCCTATCAATATCTGCTTTGACAGACTCGCTTTCCTCCAAGTACATCTGCCGCGTGATCTCACGGCGCTTGTTCAGCTTCGGGCCTCTATTGGTGATGTTTTCTGTTGTAATTGCATTGTCTGCAACATTCTTAACCTTCGCTTCATAGAATTTGTGCGAGTAAATATCGATTTTTTGGGGTGCCCGTGTACCTTTGAGTTCCACGCCCCCACCTAAGACGGTATCAAATTTCAGCACGCCCCTGGCGCCTTTTGAGCGAGCATGACGTGCAGGGTTTATCTGCCACCTATACCAGGTAACCAGTTGCTGTAAAATCAATCAGTACGTGTTTTATCTGGTTTTCGTGCATGTTCTTACTTGCTGACGCATCTCAACTGCTCTTGCCAGAGCCTTAATGTCGTCCGGGGTGCGAACATAGTCATCTGGCATGTCTTTGAAGATGACACGTTCCTCAGACCACCTTTCGAACCATAGAGCCCAGATGCGCGTGAAGAAATCATCGTAGTTCTTGGTTGCGGCACTCTCGCGGAACTCAGACATGAAGCTGAGGAGAAATTCCTCTTGCTCTGGAGTAGCCCACTTCTTGCCCGCCATCTGTAGCAGGGTAAGTTTTTTAAAAAATGAAGAAAATGCATGGAGCGCACTTTCACGGGTATGGCGGTCAATCTTGGGTAGGCAAACAACCACGGGAGACAAGATTCAAGTACGGTGATCCTCAACTTCTTCAGTGCGGTCCTTATTGATAATATATATGTCTAGAGCTTCACTAATTTAACTCATTTATGCGCCGCGCAAGGCAAGTTCTCAATATCTACACTAGATCTACACATATAATGCATATAATGACACGCCCACATCCTCTCACTTTGTGTGCACACAGACTGACTACCTCGTCTATCCCCTGATATACTGAATCAATTTTTGTGGTACAAGACCCAGCCAGAATCTCTCACCTTCTCGACTTCCTCGCAGGAAAATGCTCCTTCAGCGTCACACGTGTCTCTTGATACAATGTGTTCATAAGTACAAAACTCTGAAGGCGCTTCTCCTACAGTCAATATATGTCCCCCTTAACATGAAATGAGTCGCGACATACTCGACGACGGCGCCTAATGGCTTCAATGAGTGATGTCTGCTGCAGGTCAGACAACACTTGATCGTGAGGTATCTCCCCAAAATGCACAGCACGTTCAGGCCAAGTTGCGAACCACTGGGAGTAAATGCTCTCCCAAAAAAATTCCCGCTCTTCCACTGACCCGGAACGAGCAATTTTAAAAGCAGGTAAAATGTTTTAAGCATATCGCGCTGGTCACGCGTGAGGACTGCAATCTGCGACATGGACATGGTGAGAAGAGAGCAGTTGAATCACAGAGCTGTGCGCCTGCACATGTCTTCGCAAAGAGATCTGCGCATAGCCCCCCTACACTTCAAACTGTCATCTGTAATTGTATTCTGGAGGTCTTGCAAACCAAGATAGAAGCTCTACAGGGCATGTACTAACTAGACGGGGAATTTGTACTCCTGGTACCACAACTCATTCCCCATGAAAGTGATTGATAGTTCACCGTCTCCGCCCTCCGCCAGACGCAACAAGATGTCTTCAATCATCCCTATCATCTCCCTCATGAACCTGCAGACACCATCCGCAGCACGCCACTCATCACTCACACCACACATCTGAAGGATACCATCAAGCCCGCGATTAGCTTGGTCGAGGAAGTCTTCCAAGCGTGTGATAGCGCGCTCGAATATAGACTTGTCTCCATTCGCGGTAGGGTGTAACTCGGGGTCGGGCATCGTTTTGGAGTACTCATCCACGAGGAGGTCAAAGAATCGTCGTGGACTTTTCACATAGGCCATGAAGTCATCCTTGGCGTACTTAACTGTAGCAATGCAGTCATGTAAGGTTTCGCTGATGTAAAAGTCAGACACCTTAACACAACCAAGTCTACGCAGTACATACATTGGTTCGTCTTCGTCGTCCGAAGGTTCATTGCCTTGACAGGATTTTTTTTCTTTGCGTGACTGACGCTGCTTGGCCAGGATAGACTCTCGAAACCTGGGGAGTCTTTTGGTTAACTTGACTCCTAGATACCGTCACTTCATCACTTACTTTTGATAATGACGACGGCGCTTTTCTCTCGCTGCTTGTAGTCTAGCCTGATGAGTTTTGTATAATGTTGGGCGTGCCATGGTGAAAAATGGGGGGACTGCAAAGTAACCTTGGATCGTGAGGAGCAAAAGAACGAAGCATTTAAATAGACCCTTACACTATTTGGACCCAAACAACGAGTCTTCGATTGGTGTGAAGGTCGGACCGTAAAACATACAGTAAGATGATAAGTTGGGGTGAGACTTGCATACTCAGAAAGAATAGACAAAAGACACCTGGGAGTAGTATATATATCATGATGACATACCTTTGTCAATAAATATGATTGTAGACTCACCTAGGAAGCACTTATGCTGCAGACGGTCGGACCATAAAACACAGTAAGACGGTAAGTCCGAGAGAGACTTGCTATCTCAGAGGAATGGACTAAAGATACCTGCCTGGGAGTGATATATACATCATCATGACATGCTTTCGCGATAATTTCATCATAGACTTACCTATGTAGCATGAGGATTAACGAGTTCCCCTGAATTCGAGCTGTTGTTAGCATTCATTCAAGTTAGTATTCAGTGTGAATGAAGTGACGCCGTGACGCCACCCAGTAGTTGGATGCAAAACTGAGCTGTTGTCCACACATGGCGACTCATATATAGGTAAACATATCCCTGCATTGTTGTTCCATGGATCATGGTGGTCCTCAGCTGCGACATGTAGGTGAATGGCTTCAATTATAACTGATACTTACAGCTGTGAACTGTATGGTCGGACCGAAATAAGTGGTTGGACCATATTATGTAATCTATACACCACCTGTGAACAACGGCTAAGTTCATCCGATCCTCCTACTTTCAGCAACTCAAATGCAAGTTTCAGAACCTTCGAGCTTCTCAGTTTCAGACCTTCGAGCTTCTCTCCAACACACATGTTCTTTTCTGGTAAGTCTAATACGTGTTAAATGTATTGAACAGGCTCTTCGTGTCTGAATCTTGACAATTTCAGTAAGTCAAATGCCCACAAGACACGTTCGGATCCCACAAGACACGTACATCGCTTTGCAGGTCTATATAGAGGTATTATAGAGGGCACTGTACTGTCCCTCTCCAGTCCCTGCACTAACAATCATGCACTCCCAGGTACCATTCTTCATTGAAGGCTTGCGTATCCCGTCTTCCATCCAGATCAATAATGCAGTCTCCACGGCGCCACCAAATCTCATCACTGTCTATCAAGGTAGCTCAGATTTCCAGGATGCAGCACGATCGCTGGCAGATGCAGATGAATGCCGACTTCATTGCTACAAGGGCAGTCTATTACAATATACCAGGTGTGTCAACAACAGTACTTTGAATTTGCCTTATCGCTAATACAATTTTAGTGCGAATCAAGCGAAAGCAATTCTTTTATATTGTTCGTGGTTCTCACATTGGCGTCGTAGCGGGCTGGTAAGTCCAGTTTGTTTCAGTCATTTTTTTATAATATTTATCAACTGCTACTAGGGAAGACGCATTGAACTGTGTTCTGGGCGTTCCAAATGCTGAATATCATGAAGTTGAATCCATCGCAATTGGGGAGAGGCTGCTTCGGGAGGCTATTGATCAGGGCAAAGTGGAGATGGTGGAACCCTGGGCACTATTTTAGTTGTTCTGTAGAGTTTTATCAATGGCATATGGTCTTGTTCGTGTTGCGTCGGATCCCGGTCTTTCTGGCGTGAGAAGTTTCGAAACGAAAAGTTCTGCAGCCAGCCATTGCGATGTTGAATCAGTCAACTGGAATGCGGGCTAGCACAAGTGCCAACAATGAATCATCGGGTCCTTCCTTGCAAACTATTCAGGCCGCACCTCTTCCGTGGACCTTCCGCCAGATCAACAGCCGTGGGCATGGGCAATCAAACCCAAGCCGAAAACGAGCTCGACTAAACCACTATACACCACCCAACCAGCAGTTCCCAAGCACCAATCCACGCCTCTTTCACATTTTTATCCCGCCGAGATGGCATTTTGAAGGTTTCTAGGCAGCAAATCCGGGAACCATGTCCGTATCGCCATCTTATGAACCCGACAATCAATCTGCTGTTCCAGGAGAGGATTTCTGTGATCTTTCATATGATTTCGGAGAACCAGATCCGTTTGTACTACTAGACGATTCAGAGAATACACCAGGGCGCAAGCGAATGCCCGCGGTATGTTTAATTTAGTGATAAGTGATTGCTCCCATTGAATGAAACCTTAGGACGACCCCCTTCTCATCTGGATGAATGAACGCGATTTATTTCTGGCGGAACTGCTGCGGCACGAGGGACGCGGAGGTTACACTTCTGATGTGTGTCCTGGATGTCCATGTCCAACATCGACTCCCCCTTGATATCGGTGTCAGGACTGCTTAGATTCACAATTATACTGTGGTCTCTGTATCATCCAGTATCACATACGGTTGCCTACTCATCGTATAGAGGTCAGCTTTATTTCTTAGCTGTGAAAGTCCTGATCGCTCATTAGCCTCCTAGGAATGGACTGGTCAATTTTTTCAGCGCATTTCATTGAAAACTATGGGTCTTCGCGTACAGCTTGGTCATACAATTGGCGAACAGTGTATTCTTCCAAAGAAAGCATTCAATGATGAATTTGTTCTCATTGACACAAATGGCGTACATGAGATTGGGCTGGACTTCTGTGGTGGCACGACCTCCCAGACACATACCAAGCAACTATTGCGCGCTGGTTGGTATCCATCGACTTCTACTGATCCACGATCGGCCGCAACATTTCGTGTTCTTCATCACTATCATGTCCTATCCTTTGAATCAAAGACCTCCGCATACGAGTTTTATCATTCGCTGGTTCGTTTAACAGACAACACGGGCTTGACGCGACAAAAGGTAAGTTTTAATCTCTCTAAGTGTTAATTTCTCAGTTCACACTGTCGCTTCAGGACCGTTATGAATCTTTCATGCGCATGATTCGTCAATGGCGTCATTTAGTGATGTTAAAACGCTCAGGTCGCAGCCATGATCCAAGTGGTGTGGCAGGTACTTCAGAGGGTCAGTGTGCTGTGCTATGCCCTGCATGTCCGCAACCTGGGAAAAATCTCCCAGATGATTGGCAAGATGCCCCGAAGGCCAAAGGGTGAGTCCGATGTATATCACAAGGTGGTCGGGAGCGCTGATCATGTCCCAGTTGGCTTTATGGTCTTTTTCTAGCGATTGATGCCAACTTTCGTCTGAAAAGACGTGCCGTGTCATCCGACGAGACTGATCCCAGCCTTTCACAAGGTTGGGCTTATTTCGTAGAGGAGAAATCTTACAAGTCTTACATCTTGGACAGGATTGGAGACGTACAAGAGGTATGTTTCTTCACCGCTTGCATCAAGATGCCATCTGACCATTCTAACTTACAGAAAAGCACATGCTCGAACCATAATGCCGTGAATATGGCAGAAACCAAATCGTCTCAAGGACTTGCGGCAACGGGAGTGGGTACTGTTGATTGCGCACATCATAATATGAAGCGTCCCAATGGAGTCGGCGACCTTCAAAAGGGAGAGAAGTGTGTTTTCTCACTGATTTTATGATCTGATCTGACAAACACAATCAGGTACTTGAACATGGATTATTTGTTTTTCTCGTCACTACGACACTCGACGGTGGATGCCTTGAACGTGTCATATGACATTGCTTGCCAATGGCACAAGCATCTTTGGTCGCGCATGCTGTCTTTGCCGCCTTCACACCACTTGAATTATGTTGCGAGGACGATCCGTTTTTTTGTGCCTAAGTTTCATCTCCCTGCGCACGTCTCCAAGTGCCAAACCATTTTTTCGTTCAACTTTACTCGCTTTGTGGGGCGCACAGATGGCGAGGCACCAGAGCGAGGCTGGTCCAATATCAATCCTGTAGCTTCAAGCACGAAGGCTATGGGTCCAGGATGTCGTCGAGACACACTAGACGACCATTTCGGCGACTGGAACTGGAAGAAAGTGGTTGGACTCGGTGAGCTCTAGTTGTGTGGTATTACATGCGTGAAAACTGATAGAGTTGGTCTTAGGATCATTGCTCTTGCTCAAGATAAAAGAAGCTCAGACAGAAAAGGCCGAACACGGTGCTGCTTTCGAGGAGTTTGATAGCGTCATTTCTTCTGAAAACCGCGTGGCCTGGAAGGCTGAAATGGAGGCATGGGAGGAAAACCCGAACGATACGACAGTTACCAACCCATTAGAGCCGAAAGGCATCAGTAAGTTTGGTTTGATATCTCTTTGGTGTACCCTACTTAATATATCGACCAGCAATTACGCAAGCCAGTGCGCGCTTGAGTTTGGCCCAGCTCGAGGCCGAGGAGCTCGAGCGTGGTGTAGATCTTTCACTTCACCCTGACGTATCGCCAAGTGTACTCGTTGCATCAGGTATGGACCTCGAAGAAGAACAGTGAGTGATTAGCCTGTGTCTCCCTTACCACGCTAAAAGTTTCTACAAGACGGCGTTTGAAGGTCGTAGCCAACAATCTGGGCGTTCATGCCACAGATACACAGAAATTGAGTGTCCTCCGCACAAGGATTTCTCTTCGTCGAAAGATTGACTCATGGAGGCAGACCCAACTTCTGTATGTGCCATCGGTGCAAGTGCTTGTCACCGCGTCAGCAACCAGTGATCTCGATAATGCTGAGCTCATAAAACTGTGGCTCCCGTCTGCATTGAATGGCAATGCTTGCGATCCCCACCTCCAGCATATCGAGTGGGAGTTGCGGTTTGCGCAAGCTCACGATGCTTTAGAAGAACTTAGGCAGTGCCTCTGTGTACACTGCTCCCTCTTAAATTTCAAGAGAGAGTGGATTCGAGGCCAAGGGGCCAACACTCGGGCTCAAAATGCACTCACACGTGTACATGCCAGGCAGGCGGCCTGCGTGAAGCGCTATAGGACCGCATGGGGGGCTCTCAAACGTCTCGCACCCATTCTGAAGAAAGTAGATTGGCGCGGGCGGTTGCAGGACCTCTCTGATGACGATGTGAAGCCACTCATTGATCCATTTGCCACTCAGGGAGAGGGAAGGCGAAGGCTAACATGGATTTGGATGATGGACGGTGTGGACGGCTGTGCAGATGGTGGGGATGTCGATGGTAAGGCTTCGTTTTGATTTTTTTTCGTTTGGGTGGAATTAATCTCAGTATTTGCTAGGTGTTCGCGTCGAATGGTGTAAATCCCGTGCTAGGGCGCTTCGTTGGGCTGAAGAAGTAGATCTTCTCCAGGAGGAGATGCGCCGGGTCCTGCAATTATTTAATTGGCAGGCAAATTGGTGGGAAGGGCAGGGAGTCCTCCAGGTCTACGAGTCCGCCCCCTGCAATGGAGAAGAACCAGGAACTGCTGCCCGCCATGAGGCTGCTGCCCGGGATGAAGGCCTACGTGCTTATGCATCGCAGCAAGCCAATATTCGCCATCGCCTCACTGCCCGTTTTCGCAGCATATGGGCCCCATTTATTTCTCCTCAAGATATACTGGGCAATCCGACTGCCATGTTACCGATCCCGGGTAATATGCCCTGATGCTTCGGATTTTCTGTCTACTGTTGGTACCTATGTAGTGTACCTTGTATTACATCACTGATGAATGAAGTTGCCGGTCTCAAAGTTACCGTCTTGAAGTTACCGGGGACAATAACCGGCCGGGGGAAGAGCAAAGTATAGTACTATGCAAGGTACTCAAGTCTGATAGTTAGCATGTTCTAATGCATCACCAATGCATTGTGAGGCTTTGTAATGTACGGAGTTGATGCATTACCTATTACTGAAAACTAACAGACTTGATGCATCAACCCTACAGGGACTTGTGCTTCCCTTGCTAATGAAAATATGTATATTCTCCCCACAGAATTGATTTCCTGTGTCTGAAAGAGAACTGGAATATATCTGCACTAGATGACTGATAACCGTGTACCAGCTAGTGTAAAATGTATGGCTCAATGGTGGCCTCAAATATGCCTCTGTATGTCGTGGGAAACAGTGTCAAAAAGTGGAATGAAATAAGCTAATATTTCACTCAGTGTGTCACTCAGTAATCTTTGAAGTGAGAATCTAAAAAGAGCCTTATGGTCACTCTTCTTATCTTTCACTTACTCACTCACTCACTCTCAAACTTAGATGATACTTGGAAATGGGCTCTGAGATGGGAGCTCTCTTTATTAAAAGGGAAAATGGGCCCCTTATATACTACTCTACTAGTGGCTGTGCTACTGATTACTAATCTACTACTAAAGTGTCAAAGAATGCCATAGAATGTTCCAGATTATTCTACCAAATTCCAGTATTGCTTTCAAATCAACATTTAGTGACTGTGCTCTGTGGCTATGCTAACCTGTGCTAGCAAGCTGTGTACACTGCCTCTGCACTGCCTGAATGCTGTACTCCAAAGCTGTGTTCAAACTTTGTTGGAATTCTTGCAGTCTAATGTTAACTTGTTAAATACCACAGTGTTGGTCTTGCATATTTGTCATAATGAAGTCTCTGCATGGTTTCCTAATGTGTCACCAAGTCACATGAGTCCGATTATGTAATGAGGTATGAAGTCTTTCAGGTCTTTCCTCTGAGTATTGTGAAAAACAAGAGGCTCGCGTAAAAGCGAACATGTTCAAGATGTGACACAAAACATACCAATTATGTAATATGATGTCAGGATATGTCACAAAGTATGTTCCAGAACATGTGAAAATGTGTGAGAAAATTATAGGAAGTGTGAGAAATTGCTGACTAAGTGAAGAATTGTGCGTTTGAAACCGATCTTTCATAAGGATAAGTATTATTCTGAATGTTAAGTAGTGATGCACTCATTTTTGAATCCGAAATTACTCAAATAAAATATGGGTGCTACACAGAAAATTCTAGATAGCATCATGGGCTATTATAAAGAGTACTACAGCTAAATATTTGCCATGTTCATGTACAAAACAAGTTTTGTGCATGTCAGCGCGTATGAAATGATATCGTAGATCGATGTGTTTCGTACGGATGTGATTCGCGGCCTCCTCAGATAGAGCGATGGCGCCGGCGTTATCGGCGAACAGACGAAGCGGGAGGGACAGTGGGATCCTTAAGCATTCGAAGAACGATATGAGCCACAGACCGTCTTGAATAGCTGCAGTGAGGGCCATATATTCTGCCTCCGTGGAGGATAGCGCGTGGGTGACCTGTTTCTTGGATGAATGTGAAACAGGGCCGCCATTGAAAAACCAGGCATAGCCCGAGATCGAGATGCGATCTTCGGGACAACTCGCCCAATCTGAGTCACTAAACCCGTGAAGTTCAGGAATTGCCGTGACACCCCCATAGTGTGTGCGTAGACCGACGGTACCAGCAAGGAAGCGGAGAACATGCTTGGCTGCGGCATAATGACGCGATTCCGGTGAGCTGTTGTGTTGAGCGAGTTTCATGACGGAGACGGCGATATCTGGGCGCGTGTACATGGCAAGGTAGAGTAGTTCACCTACGATCTTACGATATTCGGAGGTGAGATCCTCTATGTGAGGGTGTAGGTCGGTGTCACGTCCAAACGGAAAGTGAGGGTCCATGGGGAGAGTGACGGCATTACATCCAAGCATCCCGTGCTCTTCAAGGAGGTAGTTGATGTAATCCATCTGATGCATCCAGAGTTCGCACGTAGTGCGATTACGCTCGAATTGGATCCCGAGATGTTTCGACACGGGCCCGAGGTCTGTGATGCCGAAGCGTTGTCCGATCTGACTCTTAATCGAGACGAGAAATGGACGGTTGCTTGCTGCGGCAAGGCCGTCGTCGACGTGCCACGCGATGATGCACACTATTCTCTCTCCGTCACTGTTAACATGGTCGTAGACAAAGACCGCATAGTCCGCCTCGATGCGAAGGAAGCCTAGGTGAGTGAGAACCTCTCTCAAAAGTTCATACCAATCATAGGCGGCCTGCTTTAGGCCGTACAGTGAGGACAAGAGATGACACACGAGAATCCCACCGCTGTCCGCAAACTGCTCGAAACCGGGTGGCTGACGCATGTAGACGTCTTCGGTAAGTTTACCCCACAAGAACGCTCGTTTCGCATTGAATGCATCGAGTTCCCAATTGTTACGGGCCGCCAGTGCAGAGATGATTCTGATGGACGCTGCCTTAGCAACGGGCGCGAACGTCTTCCCGAAATCGATACCAGGCACCTGCGAAAATCCCTGCGCTACTAATCTTGCCTTGAAGACCGACCCGCCTTTCTGATCTTCGCGAAATTCGAGTACCCACCTGCAACCGATGGCTTTCCGGTTGGTGGGAAGAGGAACCAGTTCGTAAACACTCATCTCCGACATGAGATTCATCTCCCGTTTCATGGCTGCAAGCCATGAATCTCTGTCCGAACGACGCATGGCCTCGTCATAGGTGTTGGGAGGGACTTTCATGTTGTAACCAGGAGATTGAGGGTTACGGCGAGTGTCGCTTCGAATCGAGGTGCAAGCCTGTTCGCTAACGATGAGGTTAGCGAGAACATGAGGGAAACCGACGGTCTCGGTGTCGATACGAATGGCAGCGTCATCAGCGGGTTCATCAGGTGCAAGAGGATGAGATGGTGCGGGTAGTAGGATGGGTTTAGTGGCGATGGGAATAGGTGGCACAAGAGCAGTGGGACCATCGGCAGGAGGTATGCCCTGAATGCGCGCTTCTCGTAAGTCTCGTTGTCGAGCGAGACGGGCAGCGTCAGCAGTGAGTTGTTGTCACAACCCAATAACGAATTAACGCTGGGCAGAGACTAGGACTCAAACAACAAGATAAACCAAATAAGAAGATAGAATTGAGCAAGTACGTCTGGGCTGGTACACAATGTACAGACGAGAGGTTTGAACTAAAGAACTACCGACTACAAACTAGCTACCTATATACATATATTAAGTCGGAGACTGAAGCTGAGTTCAAACTAACTACCAATCAAATAATAAGAGCCAGTATCGTACGATTCTATATATAACCTATGATGTCATAACACGTGCCGCAGCAACCGACAGGTTCTGGAACATCGCATCAGGTGCACGTGGTATAAAGTTTAGTCCGGCATATTCCGATAAGTCACGTGACTCAATCACATGCTCGTTAGGTAATTCTACAATAGACGCAACCACAGGTGCATCCTCTTCCACATCTTCAACCGTAAATACATTCTTATGGACAGGCGCTTTGTCTGAGCGCTTAAATGACTTAGAGTTCAGAAAAGAATAATGGTTCGTATGAGGTACTCGTGACATTACCCCCTCTCTAGGATGAGCGTCATCGCGAATGAAACTAGGGCGAATATTGCGTGCTCTCCAATCCTTGAATTCTTCTGATTTAAATAATGATCCCTTGATTCTTTGCGATTTTGGTGCTTTTGGATGTTTTTCATAAAAATATGCGATAGCTTCCGGGGCGTTCTTTACGTTATCTTCTGATTCCCAAGTCGCTTCGTCTCTTGGGTATCCTTCCCATTTGACCAAATACTGTAGTTTTCCTCTATAAATACGACTGTCCAACAATTCATCCACCTCGTACTCTTCTCTTTTTTCGACGATTTCTGGTGGTGGGCGGGTATTTTCGGCATGAGGTATCAACTTTGAGACATAATGCGGTGAAAGTAATTCCACATGGAAAACTGGATGAATGCCATATCCTTCTGGCAATTTCAACTTGTAGTTCAATTCTCCAATCTTTTCCACTATTTCAAAAGGACCAAGGCGTCTATCTGATAGCTTCGCATTCGGGCGTCTTTGCCTAATATTCTTTGCGTCAAGCCAGACCTTGTCTCCAATTTTATATTGTGGTGCTTCTTTAACGCCTCTATTGTAGAACTTTTTCATTCTCTCGTTCACGATTCTGAGGGTACTTTCTGCATCATTTTTTGCCTCTTTCATTTGTTGCATCCTCTCATCTGCTGCAGGAATTCGGGACAAGGAGTTTGGATGTATCGTGAAATCGGGGTTGTATCCATAAAGAACTTTGAAAGGGGTGTGCCCAGTAGCGGTTATCGAGTTATTGTGTGAAAACTCCGCAATTGGCAACCAATTTACCCAATCATTCTGTCTATAGGATGTGAACACGCGCAAGTACTGTTCGACTTCTTGGTTAACGCGCTCTGTTTGTCCATCCGTTCTGGGGTGATACGAGGTCGACATTGACCATTTCGTGCCTAATCTTTTTGACACTTCTCCCATAAACTTGGAAACGAACTGTGTTCCTCTATCCGATATCACTTTCTTCGGTGTTCCATGGTGTTTCCATACATTTTCTAGGAATAGATCAGCAATCCCTTTCGAGGTTACTTCTTTTGTGGTGGGAATAAAGTGTGACTGTTTCGAAAATCGATCAACCACCACAAATATGCTATCGTATCCTTTATCTTTTGGCAGGTCCACTATCAGGTCACAAGAGATCGTTTGCCAAGGTCCACTAGGAATCTCATTTGGCTGCAGGGGTCCGGTTGGTCTACTCGGGAACACCTTTGTTTGTCTGCATCGATCGCAACCATCTACGTAGTCGTGGACATACTTCGTCATTGAAGGCCACCA